CGAATACCGATAACGTGTACTTGCCCTTCCATTTTTGAGGCAGAATGCTCACTACTTCTTCGTTAATCTCTTTCAATTCTTTCCGGTAATTTTTATCGTTTTCAAAAGCGACCATGTCGTTCATCTCGACAGGATCCTTCGCGATATTTCGGAGGAAGTCCTCTTTTTGAGGTGACATTTTATCGGTATTCGCCGTCGGAGGCATTCCACTCATACTAAAAAATTCAATATCCAAATTACCACAGAATGTACGATTTTTTGATTATTTTATTCGACTTCTTTTGGTACCTTTTCCTGGTTTCGGTTGTCGGATTCAAAAAAAAATTTAAAGAATTAATTCGATGGATGGAGGCAACGGAGACTCGACGAGGCAATGCTCCAGTGAATACTGCTCCGAGAAATATGTTTACAATCAGCAATTGCCGTAAGACTTATAATCCAGAGTATGAAAAAATTTGCATGAGAAGACTTCCCGACGCCTGCGCACGACTATTTTAATATAATCCTATGAGACGTATCAAGATTTCTCGTTATGGATTTTTCATCATTCTTTTCGGTCGATAATGTTATGTTGGCATTGGCGAGCCTTGAAATTTCAGGCCATTATTGGTTTTTGGGAAAAGATTTTTTTTCGTATTTTTGCTGTGAACTTGGCCATTACGTGAGGCATTTCAGAGATCTTCAGAGATCAATTGGTGGTTCTATTCTGATGTTGCGCAGATCACACAGGGTGGCAAGACAACTTATGAAACTTTAGAAATTGTCACATGACGGGAAGAAATGAAGCGAATGTTTGTGAGAAAAAATAACTGTTTTCGATTGGGATGAGGGGCATTCGAAATTATGAATAACTAGGGGGCTACGCATAACCCCCACGACCTTTATTCTGACCCTTGTGACCCTCAATTGGATCCTTAATTTTGCCCTTATTGTAACCCTCGAGACCCTTATTTTAACCCTGGTGACCCGTAATTTTTTATCCCCATGTCCCTTATTTGGACCCTCACTCTGACCCTTGCGATCTTTAATCTAATCCTCGTGACACTTATTCTGATCCTTGTGGCCCTCTTTTCAACTCTGATGATCCTTATTCGGACTCTCATAAACCTTATTCTGATCTTTCATTTCTGACGTTTAATTTCGAAGTCTTAATTTTGAGCACCAAATTTTCATCACCAAAAGATTTGGATTTTTACAATATAGAGAGATATTGAGACCCTTATTTTGACCCTTAATCTGATCATTGTGATACTTATTCTGACCCTTGTGGCCCTTATTTTGAGTTTTGTGACCCTTATTCTGACTCTCATAACCTTTATTCTGGCCTTTAATTTTGGAGTCTTAATTTTGTGCACCAAATTTTCATCCCCGAAAATCGATTTGGATTTTTACAATATAGAGAGATATTGAGACCCTTATTTTGACCCTTAATCTGATCATTGTGATACTTATTCTGACCCTTGTGACCCTCATTAGAATCCTTTATTTGACCCTCATTATAACCCTCGTGACCCTTATTCTGATCCTTGTGGCCCTTATTTTGGCTTTTGTGACCCTTATTCTGACTCTCATAACCTTTATTCTGACCTTTAATTTTGGAGTCTTAATTTTGTGCACCAAATTTTCATCCCCAAAAATCGATTTGGATTTTTACAATATAAAGAGATATTGAGACCTTTACTTTGACCCTTAATCTGACCTTTGTGAGCCTTAATCTCATTCTTGTGACCCTCATTCCAATCCTTAAGTTGACCCTCATTATAACCCTCGTGACCCTTAGTTTTTTCATCCCCATGTCCCTTATTCTGATCCTTTTGAGCCTTATCAAGCTTCAATAAACAAAATGACAAAAAATAATGATATAAAATTGCGTTCTAAATATTTCAAAATATTTATCATCACTGAAAATCCGTCAGTTTTTACTTACATAAAAATTATGCTAGGAAAAAAATCTGGAATTATTATTCTGGGAATTATTTGGAGGATTAATTGTGAGACATTTCCATGATTTAACAAGTTATATATTGAATAAGATAAATGTTTATATACAAAGTGCAATACAAGAATGTCACATAAATGACTTTAATTAATATTAGTAGTAATACCAGTTTATTCGTCATCCTTTGGATAAAAATTCAATACTTGCAGTGTTCATCACGTGCCGTTATGCATATGTATCTTACTTTAAGAATTATTTAACGACTTCATGTACTATATTACAAACAGCATATGGATCTTATTGAATCGTCGGTATGGATTACTCTCACTGTCACGAGTGGAGTTCCACACCCTCACACTTGAATCTTTGAATTATTAATCTATTTTAAGCTTATTAGTCATTATAAAACAACTCGTCCGATCAGTTCGTTCAATGCACAGCCCTTTATTTTAATAGCATCTTGATACTATTGAGGAGTTATTAAAAGCTCGGTTGTTAAGATGGAGATTTGTCCGTTAAAATGCTGGATAGATTTGCTTTGAGTTTATCAGGTGCGAAATTAATTTGGACGAGAGCGAGAAAGAGAGAGGGGGGAGCGATGTTAATCTTTGGTATTGTTAAATTGCTGGTAATTCAAGCCATTGATTTCAATGCAATTGGGCTAAATTTTTTCCTTGGGACACTTAGACTCACGTAGATTTGGGTAAATTAGACTCATTTACATTTATTTATTTGGGTAAGTAGAGTTATTAACAATTTCTGCAATTTTTGCACAAATGAAACAGTCAAAAAAAATTTTTTTCAAGCAAAAACAAATTTTTTTTATTAAATATTTTGTTTGTCAACTTTTTTTTATTCTTGGGAGTACTGATGAGAATAGTAATTTTCCATTCAGTAGAATGGAAAATTATTAAGGAGTTCTGACGGGCGAAGATTTTGGAAAATCCAAAGTCCAGAGTAAAGCCCAGAGGGAGACTCAGAGGGGGAAAAAGGAAAATGTGATGCTGAAATTCAATCGAATAATCCATTGACAAAATCTTCGCCCATCAAAACTTCTCAATAATTTTCCATTTTACTGAAAATTATTATTCTCATCAGTACACCCAAGAATAAAAAAAAGTTGACAAAAAAAATTAAAGAAAAAAAATTTTTTGCTTGAATTGCGTCAAACAGTCGTTTATTTGACTGTTTAATTTTGCCCCACTCTCCCCTACTTAATAAAAAAAATTGACGGGAAGTGGAAAAAATTGTAATTTTTTATCAAGTACATCAATAAGTGTTGAAAATTGAACAATTCATTATTTTAATTTATTTTAAAGTCTTCAATTTTTTTTGTGAAAAAAACTTAATTTATCCATTATTTTTAATTGAAAAAATAAATAACTAAAGTTACAAATAACACAGTAATTTTTAATAAATAAATGATTATTTAAATATTAATGGATTTATTTCGCCTGAATTTAATTTGATTGAATTTTTTTATCGCAAAAAATTTTTTGAAAAAATGAACTGCTGTCAAAAAAAATTAGAAGAATAAAATTTTAGACAAAATTTTCTTACTCTCGAATCCTTATTCATGATATAGCAATTGTTATTAGATATGTATCACATAATGCAATTTGTGCGGAGAAAAAAGAGATACTAATTGCAACTGACATCAACAGCATAATGTGAAACCATCCAAATATAATTAGCATTGAAGCTTAATTCGAAAGGCAAATTCCTGAGATGTCTAGTCGACTAAAAAATGCGGAATGGAAAATATGGGAATGTTGAGTGGAAGTGGAAGGATTCAGTGTTTGAGCCAAGAGGACATTTAGCTGAAAATAAACACTCGAGTATCTTCCTCATTATGTGACTCTACTCTCTCTTCCCCTTTCAGATAAAAATTCACTGATCAATCCATTTAAGGATACCCAAGTATCTTTTACAGTTTGATACAGATCATTGATGATTTTCAATCATTAAATTTGTCAATTAAGGCCCGAGTGGATTATTTTTCGAACGTTATCTCGATTGTTTTTTCATCTTCATGATGTAAAATATATAACAATTTCCATTGCATTTTAAATTACGCAGGAGTCCCTAAAAATTATGATTGTACAATAAAAAAAAGTAGGAAAAAAACTGAACATTTTCAAAGAGCGTTTTTAATAAAGTTTAAGAAATAAGTCCGATAGAGAGGAAATAGTGAATGGATAATTTATCATGGTAACTAACGATCTGACAGCTATTGACTACTGTGACAAATGACGATCTAACAGCCATTAGATACATCAAATTATTAATTTGCAATTTCCTCCCTATTGGGTTTACTTCCCAATATTAGTCAAAACCGCTCTTTGAAAATGTTCAGCTTTTTTTCAACGTATATTTGATTGTACACTCATAATTTTTGGAGACTCCAGGGCTATTTAAAACTGTATAGCAATTGACGATCATTTCAGATTATTCAAACTAAAAAAAACAACCAACATCACGTTCGAAAGATAATCCACCCGGGTCTTCAAGTGTCATTAAAACTATATTTTCCACAGAATTATAATATTTTTAAACATTCATTATTGATAGATAAATAATTGAAATTTAAACTTTTAGAAATCTAATTTTTTTAGGCATGAAATCGATTTCTAGTAAAATTCTGAATAATCATTTCACTGGAGAAAAAATATCCAAAGTACTTGGATATCCTTAAGACCCAGACTTGTTGAATATATTTCTCGTAAACGCAGAAATCGCTGAGAAGAGACTATCTATTATCCCCAATATTCGAAAATTCCATGACCTCAGGAAAAACAACACTAAAGAGTGACTAATCAGTGGCCAAACAAGCCACCGTTCAATTTCAAATATAAATTATCTATCTATCCATCACTGTTTTCCGTCACAGTATCAGCCTTTATTGTTATTAACGACCAGAAAGAAAAATGAACGAGCACTTGATTAGCATCACATGTAGACTTACCCTAAGAAATTAAAACTGCCATTGCTCTTTGATTTTCGGCTCAACCGCTTCGGTTTCATTTTGATGTGCTTAGACTGAACTAATACTGATGTTTCGGTGGGAATTTGGGTGTTCTCCTCGATTAGTCGGAATCCATCATCATTATGTCTTTGACTATCGTGTCTTTGACGTCTGATTCGTCGACGTAACTATTCTTCATGTTCTTCTCTTCGATTGATTTTATGCACTGGAGAGAAAGGAGTGAAGGGTCATTAATTGATGTTGCGCCGACAGAATACTTTTTTGATGATTACTAAGGTAGAAGTCGCTTCAGATGACGTGAAAATTTTTCAGATTTTAATGATAGGCTTGTTTAAGGACTGAGGTTGTCTTTTTTGATAGTTGCTTAGTTTTGTCAAGTGAATATACTACAATACAAATACAACTACAGTAGAATTATTGATAGAATCAACATTAATTGTCAATCGTTGACATTATTCAATGTCTCTGATAATTATTTGGGGTTTTCTAAATCACTATTAAGGGGAAAGTATGACTATTATGAGTTTTAAAAGTCGCGGGCGATTAGAGCGAGATTTTTCATACATTGAAGATCGATTATATATGTCTAAAAACGAATAATTAGTGCAAAACTTAATTGAAACGTTAAAAATCTATTGACTTTTTCTTATCGAATACCTACTAGAATCAGCGCAAAAATCGAATAGAATTTTTCAATGGATTTCCAATAGAAACCCTATAGAAACCCCATAGAATTCTTGTAGAATTCCAGTACAATTTTCTGGCGAATTCGCTAGGTTTTCTATTGAATGTTTTCATACATGAAATATCCACAGATGTAATATTCGTACAGATATATAATTTTTGGACTCTTCACAATCATCATAAACTTGAAACTTTAAGATTATAATTATCTTTTTGTTGTAATGAAGAGTCCAAGAATAGGATATCCTCGTTCCTCCGTTTAATAAACTCCTTACATCTTGAAGGCGCATTCGAGGTGACATTATCTGCTCCGGAAAGTGCCAAGGCCTACAGTTGGGATGATTCTTCTCTTTCCACGTGGGATAAGCCACCGCAGCCTTGTGCAATTTTTTCACCATCTGAGGATTCAACGATGAAGATAACGGTCATAAAAGAGACAAATGGGATTAATAAGGAAATTGTTCCTGGTAACCTTGGGAGCGAAGATTTGTGTGACTCTGTTGATCAACCAGGCGGGGAGTTTCCCGTGGGGATCTGTGTGGGAGACGTACCCCAACTCTGCGCCGTCACCGTTTCTCGAGGGTCTGACGATGAATCCTGGAACATTAAGAATGTTATTATTTTTTGTAATAATTATGTATAATTTAATTTTTTATGTAATTGTTTACTTTTTCACTCAATTTTTTCATATCTCTGGGTGCCTTTCATTTAAATTCAATGCCTTTGAGACATTTAAATTATTAATATATTCATATGAATTAAATTGGATGTGACTGGAGTTGAATCCCACAGAGCCTCAACGTCAAATTTAATCTATAAAAATTGTTATGAAATTTGATTGTCAATACACAATGAAACACCACCAATGGATTATCAAATGATTCCATTTAATTTAGGAGAGATACGATAACATATTGAAAAACAGTTCTACAAATTTAAATTTAAAAAAAGTTGTGCAAATAACTGTTCTGGGGATCGTCCAATTACCTGTGAGATAGGATGTGGCTCGCACGTAACCCTTTTTGGGGGGGTAATCTTTGTGATAGACTGAGTGATTTATGATCAGTTGCTCTCTGCCGGTGTCCAGCCAGGATCTTTGGAGAACGAAGTCACGATTTTTCAGGGGGGATGTGCAGGACACTGGGAATATGAGAACAGAATTTTCTTATTTTGTTTGAATCGAGAGGGGAATTAATCCCACACGGAAAAATTTATATTTTGAAAAATATTTTTAAAAATATCTTAAATTGGTCCAATTTATATTTAAAAAAATATATATATATGTTTTCTATATTTTTTTTATCAACTTTTTATGAATTTGAAAAATATCCGAAATTGGCCCATATTATATATATTTTTTATATATTTTTTTATGGGGGAATGGAGTGAGAAATATTTTGAATTGAATGTAGTCGAGTGGAATTTGAAATTTGTTGCAATAAGAATTCCAAAAATTGAATCATTAGTGCAAAAAGATGTTTATAATCTGGGAATTTCAAGTTTATGATGATGATGAAGAGTCCAAGAATGAGATATCTATACGAATATTACATCTGCAGATATTCATATCGACACGAATAACACTTGACTCTGACTCATAAAATTCTGTTAAATGTACCACAACTGAAATTCATCGATTTAATAAATATCAAGAGTCATTCATTAAGATGTCAAAATATTACTAAAAGTTCTGTCTAGCCGTCCCAAGTCACAGTTTTCATTCGATTTCAATGCAATTGGGCCGACTATGTTCGTTGGAACATTCTCCATTGATTTTTTGTAGTTTTATTTTCACAGTTATATTTCCACATGACGAAACCAATCAACTTTTAAACAAATCGTCATAATTATTCATCAGTGTATTTTTTAAAATAAATCGTCCGAACTTGATAGAAAATGTCCCAACGAACAAATTGAGCCCAAGTGCATTGAAATCGGATGAAATGTGTGACTTGAATAAACATTTATAAACAGAATTATATAGTGAAGTGGTAAACTAGGATAAGTGTAACTTGTTTGAAAAATTTTCTATCGCTTAAGGATGTTTAGCCATTCTCAACAAATCTTATTTTGGATTGATAGCAAAACATCACATATGAAAAATTTCAATAGGATTTCCTATGGAATTCTATGGGATTTCTATAGGATTTGTATTGTAATTCTATTGAAAAAATCTATTTGTTTTTTGCGCAAATTCGGAAATTGGACATTCGATAAAAAAAAGTCAATAGATTTCGAATTTCTGTTTGAAATTTTCTCTTGAGATTTTTTCTATAAGAATGCTTGGGCATCAATTTTTCAAGTTTTTTCCACTTGCCTTCTGTAATGCAAAACAAAACAAAATCCAGCGGAAAAAAACTTAGAAAATTTGTACCCAATTTTTTTTAATAGAAAAAATCTCGAGGAAAATTTGAACAGAAATTCGAAATCTGTTGACTTTTTTTTATCGAATATCTAATAGAATCAGTGCAAAAAACAAATAGAATTTTTCAATACAATTATAACAGAAATCCTATAGAAATCCCATAGAATTCCGATAGAATTCCAATAGATTTTTTTAGTGAATTCGCGAGGTTTTCTGTTGAATTTTTTCATACGTGATATGAATCTAACTTCTTTGATGTTAAAAAAAATTAATCGCAATAGTCTCGCCAGAAATAAATGACCAAATTTTTCCTTATACACGGGCTCTTATGGGATTTATGTTGAAATTTATAATTCACCTCCTAGAAGACTCTAAAAATAAAAATAAAAAAAGAAGGTAATGTGCAAAACTATACTGAATCGAATGGCCAGAAACAAAATTGGGGTACCCGCGCAAAGAGGGGAAATATTTGAAAGATTCTATCCCATATAAGCGCATGTTAGCGCATGCGTTTGGTGCATTTTGTCCACTCCATTTCTAAATAATAAACGTGGGTTGGTAGATTGAAATTTTTATCAAGATAAAGGGAATAGCTTCAACTCTCAGTTGAAAAAAAAATCAATTTTTTTGAATACTTGCGATTTTGGAAAAACATCCTTAAATCGAAAATCCTCTCAATCGTGGTCCAATATTTGAACTCTTCTGAAAAAGTTCTATTTTTGCACTTATTCTAGTTTACCACTTCGCTACAGAATTATCAGTGATATTTAACACAGTTAACGATTGAGGATTAATATTGATTTTATCGATCATTGTCAGTTGGGTTGCATTCAACCCCTCCAGCCAAGGCAACCCCCATAAACTCACTCGAATAGTATCCAATATCATTATTAGGATTGAAGAATCCAATGTCCTTCGACTCGATCATGTGCGTGTCCCAGACTTTCCTGTACTCCGGGTCATGAAGAACGTCATAAAGAGTCTCAGGCTGCACGTCACTGAATCTCGTCCTTATCTAAACCCAATAACATTTATCGTTTCATATTACTTCAATTGAATTATTATTATATTTCCTCATTTAATCAATTGCGTCAACTTTTTTGGGATATTTAAACAAATATTTCACACAATGATTGAATTAATTCAAAACATGATATCCAGATATATCTTCAAAATTCTCATTTTTCAAAAATACGAAATATTTGGAAATTGCTCTATGAATAAATAAAAATTACGAAATAAATTTTAATTCAGTAGCGAAGTGGTAAAACTGTACAAGTCAATTTTGACTATTGACCGGTTTTCAATGAATATCTCGGAATTTAAGGAAGATAGCAAAATTGTTGTTATTACCTTTTTTGTAGAGCCGATTGAGTACTACAACAAGTATAATTACGAAAATTTCGCTATGTCCGTTAAGGCCCGGGTGTACTATCTTTCAAACGTTATCTTGATGTTTTTTTTCGCCTTTCGTCACCGAAATTGTCAATTAAGTTCTGCATCATGCAGAAGTTTTGAAAAATTATGAATGAATAATCAAAAAAAAGTAGAAAAAATTCTTAATTTTTTCAAAGAGCATTTTTAATTGATATTCAGAATAAGTTGAATAACAATAAATTGAAAATTGTATCTGATTTACGGTGACAAATGGCGGCCTGTCACCCAATATCATGCAGCGGGAAAACTAATTTCGTAAATATTTTCTCACACTGCACAGAGACATTTATTACGAAAAAGGCTCTTTGAAAAAAGTTGTAATATTTTGGAGAATTTTTTAATCACACTTTTATCACATAAAAATGGCAGATGACTACGTACCACTGTTTTGAAAATTGAGATACCTAGCTGTCACTTTCCATGAGAAGTTAGTGTTTTGTTATCCACCATAGAAAATGACAGCTAATAGATAATTTGCCACAGCGAATCAGATATTTGTAATTTCCACTATTTTCAACTCATTCTGAATCTCAATTAAAAACGCTCTTTGAAAAAGTTCAGAATTTTTTCTATTTTTTTTATCGTTCTATCATAATTTTTGGGAATTTCTACATGATGTACCACTCAATTGACAATTTTGGATTGCGAAAGATGAAAAAATACAGATAACATTCGAAAGATAGTACACCCGGGCCTTAAATTCGAAAATATTCCTCAAAAACTCAACTGGGAGGTAAACCGACTTAAACCGTTTTACCGCTTCGCTACTGAATTAATGCCGATGGATAGGGCTCAATAATATTCACATTTGAAACCGAAAAACAATTAATAATGCGTAAATATAGCACAAAAAATAGAAAAATGAATAAAACAAGCAGGGGACAGCGAGCACATGACAGCGCGCCATGTGACAGTGAGCATGTCACTGAGTGATGTATTTTTTTTTCGCCATCAATACACTGATGGCGGGCTTTCGAGTGGCCTGAAATATTACAAAAGTTTATAGCTTCACAACACTAACTAGCAGCAAAAATTTCAGATGGTCACTGCCACCTCCATGGGTGCTATCAAAATTCCAATGTTTCGAATACTTCGTATGAACGGTTATACATATTTTCTGTCCACATTTCGAGTTGATATCTCAATTTTTGCACAAGCTAGAGTGGTTACAAAGTTTTCTATGAAAAAACGGGAATATCTCGAAAACTTTGTATGAACGGGTATATATGTTTTGATTGATTCAGATAGAAGGCATCGAAACGAATGTTCTGAAAAAAGAAAAAGTGAAATCAGTTGCGTAGTTTTGAAGATATTCCATGTAAAAGATTTTCAGAAAACGCCGAATATCTCCCAAACTACCGATGGAATTGAACCCATCTTTAATACGAAATATTGTTATCATGAGAGGAAGATTCTGTCCAAATTTCAATTTGATATCTCGATTTTTGCACAAGCTAGAGTGGTTACAAAGTTTTCTATGAAAAAACGGAAAAACGGGAATATCTCGAAAACTTTGTATGAACGGGTATATATGTTTTGATTGATTCAGATAGAAGGCATCGAAAGGAATATTTTGAAAGCAAAAAAATCGAAATCGGTCCACTAGTTTTGAAGATATTTGCGGGAAACGATTTAAAAGCGAATCGCTTTTTCTTCAAAACTAGTAAATCGATTGAGCTGAAATTTTGCACAGAGTTAGTCTTCATTAAGACCCATAATCTGACAAAATTTCAGATTTTTTGAAATTATTTTAGCCACGTAATTACTCAATTTTCTAAAAATTGATAACCGGGAAGGTGGCGGTGGACGTGATCACAACAGACATGGTCGCCAAACTTCGTATTTTTACATTTCAGACTATTCTACATCATTTCTAATCTAAATTAGAGAATGTGAAAATAGAAGGTTTGCAATGCCTCCATTCGGAGCAAAAAAATTACTAAGCAAATTTTAATTAATGTCGATGGACAGGATGAGCCCAATATTCACATTTGGAACCAAAAAACGCTTAATAATACTTTAATATAGCACGAAAAATAAAAAATTAATAAAAAATCAATATAGGGGAGGTTGGGGTAAAACGGACACTTTTGACTTTTTTTAAAATGTTAATGCGGGGTTGAAATGTGGATAAAATTTAATAATTTTTTAAAATACAAAGAACAATTATTTCCCTTTGTAACGAGCCTAACTGAGCTCAATTGATAAATTTGTTTCTGAGTTATGAATAATTTTAAAAGTTTAAAGTGTGCATGTTACCTCACCCTCCCCTAAATATATATTTAAAAAAAAATTCAAAAACATTAAAAACATGAATCCTCCAAAAAACATGAAAAAACCTACCTTGACCATTCGAAAGCTGATTCCAGGCACAGACTTGGTCCAGACCGAGAGGTCCGGCTTGTTGTAGTCCAGCTTCCAATCATTATTGTCATCATACAACTTCTTCAGCTTCTCGAAGTCCTTGTCCTCGGCTATTTTCACCACTCCAACGTCCATTGCATTCGCAATTCCCCTGAGCACCCTAAAACCCCCAAAAAGCCCTTCCAATCTGTTTTGCCCCTGCCACCCTCGATAAATACCTGATCTCCACCTGTCCAAAGTCTCCACCAACCCCAGGACCACTCGGAGCTACCCAGGAACTAGTCACCCTCAATATTCATCAATGAATTCACGTAATTGCGACAATTAATCGACTCAATTGTCACAAAAAAAATTCGATGAACTCATGTCAATCTTCTCGATTGAGCAATAAATGAATTAACAAGCTTGACAGACGCCTGAAGAGACCTGTTTTATCCTGTTATCTCTATTGAATGACGTTTTTTGTCGTGGAATAGTGGAGAATCGTTGAAAATAGTGCACAATACTGTCTGTTCTCTGGTGTTAGGCCAACGAAATTCAACTACAACAATAAGAGGTGTTTTGTGAGCAGCTGTAGATAACGCAAGCTGATGTCATCGGCTTTGTGAGAGAGTGTGAAGGGGCTGCTCATGCGATAGTGTTGGGGAATAGACGAATGTCGAGTGGTGGAGGTGGGTGGAGGGACTGGACAACGTCAATGAGACTGCGCGATTAAGGGTATGTTGATGCTTTTATATTGCATGCACATAACTCCGAACAATCACGATAATTCAAGTAGATTTTGACTTAGTCAAAATCATTTTCAATGAATAACTCTGGAGGGAAGGCAGATGGGAGAATTTTTGTCAGGACCTTTTTTGTGGGGCGGATTGAGATGTGCAAAAAAGGTTCCGAGCAAATTTTCTCTATCTCCCTTGGATTCCGAGATATTCATCGAAAAGTCGGCTGAGGGTTGAGTGGAGTTGAATGGTTTTACCACTTCGCTAATGAATTTGGGGATAGTCTGAATCTAGCTCTATTATTCACTCGAAAATGTCGAGGGTTGGCGGTTTACTGGGGTTGTTCGTTATTATAAACTGTATTTTTGAGGTTTTTGGTTAGGTGAGGGCTTTTAAGGATGTTTAGCCAAAACCCCCATTATTCGCCATAATTTTGATGTTGTCTCATATGCCAGGTTCATATTTGAGCCACACGTTAGTAATAATCTTAATCCTTCCATCGGGGCATCCTAGTGAGGAAGTAATTTCTGAAAATCACTTCTTGTAACATTACGTTTAGGGAAGAAACGTGACCGTGTGAACTTCGATCGGGATGTTGAATGGGTTAGACACTCAAGATATTGAAAAACAACCACAAGCCATTTACTTTAGACTATGGAGAATCTATCGCCGGCGAGAACAAGTGGCGGACCGGGCCATATAGGCGTGATATCTTCGATTGATTTTCGAATTCCTCTAAAAAAAATTTGACCGCCATTACGAGTCAACGCGACAACACCATACAACAGCTGATCGAGGTCGGTAAAGTCGGTGACGATAATTCATTTACCGGTAAATTTCCGGATATTTACCGATCTTGCTGGGAACTTTTAGATGGCATTACTGTTCCCTCGTTCTCGAGTCTCATTTGAATCGAGAGGAACGTGATGTTTCTCACAACTATTTTTTCATTAATTTTTTTGAATGCAGTTTTCCATTTTCAAAGGCTTTTTACTTAAAAATTCGAGTTATAATTTGATTCTCCTTCTTTAAGCGTGGGAGAAAACATTTTGAAAATCTAAAAAAAAATAATAATAAGCCTACCTTTTGATGAAGATTCATAAAATCATTGTAGATTATCTATATTATCCCTTCGGCTATTCTACTCGGTCAACCTTAGATGTTTTTAAGGCATAAATTACTTGGAAAGCGGGATGCTATATGCTATCTAAGGTTGACCGAGTAGAATAGCCCAAGGGATAATATAGATGTTCAATATACCGGTCGAAAAATGTCTTTGCATTGTAGATTATTTACAAAAAATCAATTTTCCATTCTAAAAATCATTTCCATACAAAAAAAGAAAAGTTTTTTCATGTTAAAAATATAATGTTGATAATTCTGATCATGGCCTGTTTTTTTTATTCCTCACGTAATTTAATTCACAAATTCGGCCATTGAAAATCGAATTAGATTATTTCCTGGGGAAATTTTCCTCGCTTGATTCTCGAAAAACAACAATAATTATCGAAAGTTATTAGAACTTTTTTTCTCCCAAAGTGATAAAATAAAATTTGTTGAAAAAAGTTCTTAATCATAAATTTAACTCATAAACAATTGATTTCATAAGAAAATTTTCATCAAAAAATGTCTTTCAACAGTTCTTCCATTCCAATTTCAAATATATAAATATCACCAATTCTCCTTCTATCCAGATCTGCACAATTATCTCGGTACAAAGAGGCCTAAATAAACCTAACAAAATTTTTGGGAAAAACTCAACATCTACAATAATAATATTTTTGTCGAAACAACTCTTGAATTTAATTCGTAAAAAAATATATTTCCAGGAGGAATTTTCTCGAAAAATGTCTTTTCACAGTTTTTCCATTCCAATTTTGAATATAATTTCCCGAAATTTTCTCTTTTATGCAGATCAGCGCAACACTTTTTGGCCAAGCCCCTACCTCAACCTACGAAGAGGCAATAGAATAGAGAAAGCAGAATCTCGAGAAAGCAGAGAAGCAGTTAAAAGCCCCCGACCTCGAGAACAAATACTTTCTGGGCCAGGCCTACCATAAGGGACTTGCTGAAACAAATTCACGATCTTCAACCCAAAAATAAGAAACAGGAGAAGATGCCAAAGGAAGCGCCGACCCTCGTATCCAAATATTCAAGTTACTGCTGATAGATGATCCAAAAAAAGTTTTTGTTAATCATTTAAGTAGTCTAGAAATCAAAATTAATTGTTAGGTGTGATGTAGGAGTAATGATTTGGTAATGCGCAATGTGGCTCGAATAGTCCTTTTTATACTTCAATAAAGTGTTGTCCATTAATTCTTCTCTTATTCATTAATTCCTTCAAACCTGAAGGAGTTTATCTTCATTTTACATTCACCATTTATGCACAACATTGATTTCCAACTTGAATTGTCCAAGAATTTTCACACAATGTTCGTGACTCTGGTGTAATTGAAAGTAAGGATTGGTATTAAGATCGGATGATTTATTGATTTCAAATCGCTTGTTAGCCGCTGATATTAAATATGATTCATATGAATTGCTGGACGCTGCGTATCCAGTCTACATTATATTTGCTACATGTTTTGTAGAAAACGTTCTATGGGCACTATTTTATTCAACTTTCCTTTGAGACTTTCTATTGAGACATTTTCTACAGGAATTTTTCGACATGAATTTTCCACTCTATTCTTTTCTCTTTTCATTTAAAAAATCAAACTACGAAACATACAAAATTTCAGCGCACGAATTTCTATAGGAAATATCTCAATGGAATAATTTGCATGAAAAATTGCATTCTATTGATTTTTCCTATAGAATATTTTCCATTGAAAATTCCTATTAAAAAACTGCGCACATAAACTCACCAATTTTTGAATAGAATCGCTCAAAAACTAACGGAAGAAATTTCAGTGGAAATCCCCTAGAATTTTCTACCGAATTCGCATTTTTCAATTTCAAATCATATCAAGGTAATTTTCGCCCTAAACCCTAGCGAATTCTCTAGAAAATTCTAAAGATTCCTATAGGATTTCTATTGGAATTCTACTGAAAAATTAGATTTGTTTTTTGCACTGGTTCTATTGGATATTCGATAAGAAAAAGTCAATAGATTTCGAATTTCTGTTAGAATTGTTCTCTTGAGATTTTTTCTATAAGAATGCTTGGGTATCAATTTTCCAATCTCTTTCCATTCAGATTTTGTAATGCGAATTTGCTTAAACACAAAATCCAGTGGAAAATTTGTGCCCAATAATTCTATTAGAAGAAATGCGAAGAGAAAAATTCGAACAGAAATTCGAAATCGAAATCTATTGGCTTTCTTATTGAATATCCAATAGAATCAGCGCAAAAGACAGGTAGATTTTTGCAATAGAATTCCAATAGAAATCCTATAGAAACCCCCATAGAATTACTATAGAATTCTATTGTTTTCTGTTGAATTGTATTCTAGTGTTTTCTATTCGATTGAATAGTTTTCTATTAAATTTTTTCATAAGGAAGGGTAGGGCAGAACGGATCTCTAGGGCAAAACAGACCACTAAATTGGTAATTTTTGTTTTTTTTTCTTTCCTCCAAATCAGGAATACTGAATGTGTTGAATTAAAAGTGAGTTTCTTGGATCGTAACCGTCACAGGGGTTCTATAGACAAGAAGCGTCGTTGAACCGCAATTTGATCAGATATGCTAATCACCTCAAATCGCGAATGACTTTAAATTTTTCTACATTATCCCCTGGGCCATTTTCTCCGTCAAACCTTATAGATGTTTTAAGATATAAATTTTAAATGGAATGCAGGATGCTATATTTCATCTTTCGACTTTCCGAACCTCTAAATGCAGAAAATAATTAAACAATCATCAATCTTTTGGTTTTAATGACTTTAAATTTTCGTTTTTGTTTCCGTTCGAAAGCAAAAACAAAAATTATCAATTTTCTGTCAATGGTCCGTTTTGCCCTACCCTCCCCTACGTGTGCTCCCTGAATCCGCAGAAAAATCCCTCCAAAAATCACCATTATTATCAATTAAAAACTACAAAAAAAACACTCCGAGTTCATTCTCCTCATCCTTCCCCTCGCGAGAGGAGTCGTACGGGTGCTGTTCACAACGTAGATCAATACCGGTACAGCCCAGCATCCCAGTGGCTCTCGTCATGTGGGGCGGGAGGAAAGGGGGGAAGTATCCAGAGAAAACTACAAAGGGTGGAGTTGAAATGTTAGTTAAGGGTGTAGTCGGAGGGATGTCGAGACACGAGAAAGAAGCCCCGAGCGGTTAAAATGCTCGTACGGAAGCCAAATCAAGAGCATCATCTTGTCAGTCGGTTAGTCAACGCTCGGTGCTGGTGAAATGAGGTACAATTCCGATTATTTAATGCTCAAATGAACGATAAGAACAATTTCAATCAATAAAATATCAAAGTTGATTAATTAATCAATTGAATTCATTAATAAAAACGTGAAAAAAGTAGTAAACTTTGCAAACTCTGGGAAATTGTGGAATTATCTTGGTAATTACTGGGTCTAAGGGAAAATGTCATAAACCTTTTTTTGTGGAAAATTTCAAGAGCTGTAAGAATGATTTTATGACATTTTATCGTGGGATGAGTCGTTCTCGAGATAATCTGGAAATTAGAGAAGTGGTTTTGTTGGAATTGTTAGTTTTTGGTAGTTTGGGGGGAAATCAATTTGACTCCGGACATTGGGGAATTATCTTCGTAATTAATGGGTCTAGGCGAAAATGTCATAAAACCTTTTCTATTGGAAATTTCATGACTTACAAAAATGATTTTATGATATTTTGTCGTAGATTGACTCGCTCTTGAGATAAATGCGGAACTAGAGGAGGGGTTTTGTTGGAATTGCTAGTTTTTCGGGTTTGGGGGAAATTAATTTGACTAATTGTTGTTATTAAGGCTGGGATGGTGACGCGTGAGTTTGTCTGTGGCATAATCTACTGTGCCCTGTGGTACGGAAGTATCGTTGCTGGGTTTCTATTCATCGCTTGTCCACTACTTCCGCTTTTGATTCTATCACCTCCGAAGTTTCGAAAATGCGGGGATTTACTGTTCTCGTATTGGGAGCTGTACCCCACGGTGAGTAGTCATTCATTTTTTTTTTGGGAATATTGTTTCATCTGCGTTAATTCTAGGGTTGAACAGGATAAATTTCTATTTTTGCTTCCGAATGGAAGCATTGTAATCGTTCAAATTTAAGTTTTGGTTTTTTTGTGTTAAATCGACCCATTATGATCCAAAAAGTACGAAAATGCTATCTTTAGAACGTGTCCTGTGTCGTGTGGTAAAGTTTTTCTTCAATTGTTCGCTAATGAATGGATGGAATTGAATCTTCTTTTTCAAATGTAGGTATTGTTGAGCCCTATCGATCGCCATTAATTAAAATTTAATTCATCGATTAGTTTTTTTAATTTTTGATTTTTTTCGAAAATCAGTTGTCCCACGATGACTAAAAAAAATATTCCGAATTGATTGAATGATAGCTTAAAAAATTTGTTTGGATGTCCTTTTGACCGAGTTCAAAAATGAAGGCGATAGCAATAATCGTTATTTTGATTTATTCGAAAATTATCTTCGAATATCATGCTTCAAATGAATTCAATCATAGTTTAAAATACTTGTTTTAATGCCATTAAGTCCAAGTTGAAAGATGATTACGATAGCTATATTGGTTGATTTGATTTCTATGATCATTGTTGAAAATTTAGAATTTTTCATGAATTTCCCTGAAAGTGAGCTTTCTGATGGTTTCTTCAAATGTGATGTTTCAAATTCATTCAAATATGTGTAAATAAAATTTTACTATTGACATTTTATCGAAGGACTGAGGGGAGAGATAGAACTGTAAAAAAGACAATCGGTTGTGTAGAAGAAAAGGGATAATGAAAATAATTATGCTGATAATATTCAACTGAGTTGAAAATCTGACAAAATTAGGTAAAAAGAAATCTTATTCAATTTAATAAAATGAAATAACCAATGAATTATACATGATAGAAGGAAATGATGTGCAAAATAACCATTCGGAAGCATATTGCTATTTTATTAGCAAAAATAACTATACAATACAAGAGCAATTTCCCACTTGTTTTTAACGCTCCACTAGTGGCTGTAATTTTCGGTCCATCATTTTGGGAATATCTAGGAGACGAACAGGTTTCGCAGAAAATTTGTGAAGACATTTTTTGTAGACTACGAAATTTTGCACAAAAAAGTCTTCAAGAGTTTTTCTCGTAAATCATAATTTAGTAGTTCCTTAAAGACAATTCGTCTCGCAAATCATATGTTGATAAAAGATTGTCCGGATTATTTTACGATTATCTTGGAAACTATGGGATTTATCGAGAACGATGAAAAAAACGTTTTTGTGGACCTTGAAATTCTTCACAAAAAAGTCATTTGAGGTTTTCTTCTAAAATCACTCGTTACCGAGATAATTAGAGAGTTCAGCAAAAATAGTTTGCGTCGAAATTGGAAAATTCTCAAAAATTTTACTTTCGACTATTGCGCAAAAATCTCTGGAACTACTAGAGTTAGAGAAAAATATAAAAAAATATTTTTTTTAGATCTGAAAATTTTCTACAAAAAAGTCTTATCTTATTTTCCCTTAAAATCAGTTGCTACCACGATAATTTGATAATTACCTAAAGTCGATGTGTCTCACAATTTAATTATTGTTAGAAAAATTTCTTGAGTATTCTGCGATTATCTCCGAAACTATTGAGTTTACCAAGAAATATCATAAAAACTTATTTGTAGATCATGGAATTTCCACCAAAAAAGTCTTATGGTGTTTTGCTCTAGAATCATTCATTACAAAAATAATCCGAAGAATACCCAGAGATGATTTTTTGTTTGGGGACAGTCCACAACGTCTTCTTTAAATTCGATTTCCTCCTCCGGAAATGAATGTAACCGATCCGAAATCATCATTAGGCACTGCTGGAGATGTTCGGAGTGAAGGTGATAGTATCGGGTGACCATATATCGCCTAATGAGTCGGCCATACTCGTGATGAATCATCGGACCCGTGTCGACTGGAACTTCCTTTGGGCGGCGATGTACCAGGCGTGCATGCCTAGTGTCGCTGCCCACAAGCTCAAGTTCATCCTGAAGGATCCGATTCGTCACATCCCAGGACCAGGTATAAAAAAAAAGAGCGAAATCTTTTTTTTCGAATCCCTCACACATCAACCCGAAACGATCGCAAAACAGTAATTTTGAGATTGAGATGAAATCATCGAGGGAGTGATAAGAGCAGACTATTTCCCAATTATCGCAGAACCTACTAGGTTTAGAGAAAAATATCAAACAGCCTTTTTTGCAGGTCATAAAATTATCTACAAAAAAACTTTTTTGACATTTTTTCCCAGACTTACTGTTTTCGGAGATATTGGAATCAGAGATATAGGTCCCATCCCAATTATTCACCACTTGAAAAATTGATTTCGGGAAACTGCTGAGCTATGAAAATCCCGCAATTGTAACGCGACTGTCTTGAGATCCTCTCCATGTATGCACCCCCTCATAATATTGTCAATCAACTCATCAAAAATCATTAGACGTCGTAGGTATTTAGAAAAGACGTGAAAAATCTATTTGAAACTTGAAGAGAGCGCAATGAGGCAATCAGTGGTCGAATATGCATTTCCTCATAATATTCGTGACTCTACCATAATTGATTTTAAATAGATCGACATAGCATATATAACATGTACGATTCATGACAGTACACGTATGAAAAATTTCAATAGAAAACCTAGCGGATTCGCTAGAAAATTCGATTGGAATGCTATCGGAATTCCATGGGGTTTCTATAGGATTTCTATTGTAATTCTATTGAAAAATTCTATTTGTTTTTTCCGCTGATTCTATTAGATATTCGATAAGAAAAAGTCAATAGATTTCGAATTCCTATGGGAATTTTTCTCTTGAGATCTTTTCTGTTAGAAATTATTGGGCACAAGTTTTCCAAGTTCTTTTCCGCTGAATTTTGTTTTGTTTAACATTACAGAATGCAAGGGGAAAAAACTTGGATAATTTATGCCCAAGCATTCTTATAGAAAAAATCTCAAGAGAAAGTTTCAAACAGAAATTTTAAATCTATTGACTTTTTCTTATCGAATATCCAATAGAATCCGTGCAAAAGACAAGTAGATTTTTCCAATAGAATTCCAATAGAAATACTACAGAAACCCCACAGAATTCCTATAGAATTCCAACAGAATTTTCTAGCGAATTCGCTGAGTTTGCTATTGAATTTTTTCATGCGTGTATTTTTATTATAGAATATGACTAAGTTCATTTGAAGAAAATGTTCTAATACATCGAAAATATTCCGACAATCCCCTCTTCAATACCACGACTCTACTCCTCGAAATTTAGCTCTCTACTGACTCATTCGCACTTCCACTCATCCCTAAATACTGAAAGCTCTCTAGTCCTAGCCATCGGTGCCTCAACTACGCTGCGTACTTCCCCGATGTCTGGACAGTCCCCAATTGTTCCTCAGCTCGACTAAAATTCCCATTTAATACTTTATTATTATAATCCCTAATATTTCTAGACTTAAAAGTTATCTGGGACCTTTCCAACTTCCCCTTTTCCACGTTTTTGCCCTAACAGGCGACACTCACTGAATAATTAAAAATATGCATGCCACATAACATGATACGTAACGTCCATCAATGGATACGATTCATATTAAATATCACCAACTAGCAGTTGATATAAAATCGATAAGTGATCCGATCAAATCCTAATCTGCGAAAAGATCCCCTGTCCCCCTGCCCCTCAAACCCCAATTCAAATTTATCCAATCCCTTCAGGTTGGATAATGCAGATGAACGGTTTCCTTTACATAACTCGTCGTTGGGAAGAGGACAAAGGCCGGCTGTCCCGCACACTCGACTACCTCGTGGCCCTCCAGCGTCACACCCAGCTCCTAATCTTCCCCGAGGGGACAGACCTCACCCCCAGCAGCAAGGAAAAATCCGACAAATTCGCAGCTAAAAATAATCTCCCCCATTACTCTCACACTCTCCACCCGAAGACAACGGGTTTCACTCACCTAGCCCGCCACCTCCAAGGCTCGCAGTACCTGGACGCCGTCTACGACCTGACCATAGGCTACCCCGACTACGTGCCCCAATCGGAGATCGATCTCATCCGTGGAAGAATGCCGAGGGAGGTGCATTTCCACGTGACGAGAATTCCCTCGTCTGAGGTACCTAACGACGAAGAGGGACTGAGGAAATGGTTAGAGGGGAGGTGGAGCGCCAAGGAGAAGATGCTGTCGACCTTCTCCGAGGAGAAACAATTTGTCACCGATCCGTGGAGATTTCCAATGACAATTTCCCTGAGGATAGCCTTTGGATTTTGGACGATCTTAACGATCACGGCTGCCCTTATGCTGATCACTTCCACTTGGTTTCAATTATGGACACTCGCACATGCAATTTTTTTTGTCTGTCTGTCGATATTCAGTACCGGGTTCAGTCAGCTGGAGATCGGCTACTACTGGAAGTGGAAGAACTTTTCGAAGAGTAAAGAGCATTAAAAGTGGGGAGAACTGATTTTGGGGGAGTCTTTCTGGGAATATCTCGACAGCTGAGGACAGGAATTCATGGCCAGATATGAATGTATGTTGAGACCTGAAATTCTGTTCATATTCAATTTTATGTCGAGATTGGAATTTACGTTCAAACTGGAGATCATGTCTGACAGACCTGAATTCATTTCTAGACAGGACTTTATGTCTGGGCATTAATTCAGGTCTGAAAATTAATTCAATTTTCGCAGCCCTGAATTCATGCCTAGACATGAATATCTGGAAATGTGGTAGACCTGAAGTCATGTTCAGAAATAAATTACTGTCTGGAAATATAGTGGACCTGAATTAATGTTCAGAAATTAACTCGGAACTGTGCATGTATTCAGGTCTATGAAATTCGAATTTATTTCCAGACAGGAATTCATGCCTGAAAGACCTGACTTCATTTTCAGACAGGAATTTATGTCTGGGCATGAATTTGTCTGAAAATGAATTCAATTCTTGCAGTCCTAAATTCATGCCGAGGCAGGAATGTCTGGAAATGTAGTAGACCTGAATTGATGACCAGAAATTAATTCCTGTCTGCGAATGAATTCGGTTCTACAAAATCGGCATTTATTTCCAGACTGGAATTCAAGTCTCGATATGAATTCAGGTTTGAAAGACCTTAATTTATTTCTGGACAGGAACTTATGCTAGGATCTGAATTTATTTCGAGACATAAAATTCATGTTCAGACCTGGAATCACATTCTCGATTTTCTATTCAGATAGGAATTTATGTCTGGACAGGAATTCACGCCTGGAAAACAAATTTTCAACTCAATCTGAATTCATTTCTAAACCTGAGATCATGTCCGGACATATGAACTCCGGTCCGAAACAAAATTCATATCTAGACACAGAAATTCCTGTCCAGACCTAAATTCATGTCCAGACTTGAGTGATGATATCTTTAAAATGGGATCGAACGAAAACTAAATACAAAGAAGGTGTCCACACGAATTTTGATATCTTTTAAATTCCGATATATTTACCAATCTAACGCATCCCGTTTCACCACTTCACTAGTTTATTTTCGGTCAGGAAATCCTGCACCTGTAGGGGACCTTGTGGCGTAGCACTGTGATATTGATGTACATAGGTATAGGTTTGTGTACAGACATAGGGAGAAACGCCAGTACCGGAAATACTAATTAAGAAAATTTGTCTTTAGTGATTGGAATTCCTATTTTCCTGTCGTAAACTGATTCTCATAAATGACAGAATCATTAGTCTGATCAATCGTTAATTTTGATGCATAAAAAATATCAAATCCATTATTATTCATAAAGACAATTTTTAGAACACGAGAAGAATTAGAAGTAGAGTAAATCTTTAGAATTGCAAGTAAATCCCCAATTTTTCACATTAGAAATTGATTTTTGTTGACGGAAATTTACGTTAGTGAAATCTGGCAAAATCTCTAGCCATTTTTTTTTCAATATTTACATCATATTAATGAGTAATTGACTCCATAATTTATGGATAAAAAAAATGAAGATGTTAGATTATATTTTTTCTGAATGTCTAGCAATAATTTAGAGTTAAGAAACATGAAAATGTGAATTCACGTGCCAAATGAATAAAAATTAAACAAAACTTCTAATGAAGTTGTCATCTCTAACTCGGAGATGGAATTTACGATTAACTTAGCTAGTCTCATGTGATGAGTAATATCTATATTGATAAATATACTCCTGTTTTAATCGATAATGTAAATAATAAAAAGTACCTTCGGTGTTAATTGGGAAGATAAAACTGTCGAACACTATACAAATCACTGATACATGACAACAATCCTATCGTCTGTGTAATGAATAATCATTGTGTACCTTCTCGTACCTTGTGTAGGCTCGTGTTACTGGAATAAGTACAAGTTAATCTAATTGTGTAGCCGAAATGTCTGGTCATAGTGTAATCGTGTAATCGTGAGGAAAAACAAGACAAATATATGGAAAATTTAAAAGTAATTCATTTATTTAATCCTCTTTGAATTAGATCTCCTCAGGAGTGCAAATGGTCTCATTCAACTGCATCTTGTGAACAATAAAAATAAAGAAACATTTTTTTTCTTCCGCAAATATCTGTGAAATGCAGATCCAGAGATAAATACGTATGAAGTATTTTTTTTATGACAAGAAACAATTTTCAATGTTAGAAAATATTTTCGAAAGATCATTTTTGAAAACGTTTGTTTTTTCTAAATTCACCAGTTTTTGACATATTTACAAGAAAATAATTTATTATCCAATGAAAACATCATTTTTCGTCATAAAAAATGTGTCCTCTTCCCTACATGTTCTGGAAGTTACGAATTTGAGAAAAAAGTTCGTCTTTTAACATTTTTTCAAAGTTCTTTTTAAGTTTAACGAAGTCAACTAGTTTTTGAGACTTTTATAATAAATTATTTAACTCAAAATTCAATAAAATTCATTTTTTCTTTCGAAAATATCTTGAAAACAACTGGATTTAGATGACACGTCTGAGGACTATTTTTCTAGAAAATTTCGCTGTCTACAGGAAAATCTGATAATTTTCCCTAAATCCCCTCCTTCAACCTGGTCAAATAACAACAGTATAATAGTATTGAAAAAACTTTTTTATCTCAAGAGAATATCTTTTTCCACTTTGAATATCCCCAAACTACTAATTAGACAAAAAAAAAATCAAAATACCATTTTTGAAGAGATTTTTCTCTCTTAACCCACTACATTCTGAAACATTTACAAAAAAAATCATTATACAAATTGAAGAATAATTTCTTGTGAAAACGACTAGATTTAATGAAAATGTCTGAAGATTATTTTTGCAGAAATTTTCAAGAGATTTTTTCCTTTATAGCCAACAGTTTTTGCGATATTTACAACATTTTATTATAGGAATTAAGAAATCATTTCTCGTCATAAGGAAATACTTCTTTTTTGAAATTATCTTAGAAACAACTAGTTTTTGGACAAAAGTTCTTCTGCTTTTTAAAAATAAAATCTACTAGTTTTTGAGATATTTATAAAGAACCAAATCATTCATAAATTTAGAAAATTATTTTCTGCCTTTGCAAACATCTTCAAAACGAGAACAAATAATCTCCGCTCGTTTTTCCCAAACCCAAACTGTTTTCTCCATTTTCAAATAAAAATTTCCAGACAGCATCGAAAAAACCTCTTCATCCCAGCAGCAGCTGGTTTTCTTAAAAAATATCAGAAGACAATTTTCCTAAATCACGAAATGCTAGAAAACAAATCTTTTGACATTTTTTCCTAAATTCATTTCTCACGTTCAAAACGAGTCATTTCCACCCCCCCCCCCCCCTCACAACAACTTAAAGCCCCCCTTACTTCTTATAAAACGGATTTACAGGACTTGGCTTATGCACCCCTGCTCCAGGTTTCTCATTAACATCATAAGGAATTCCAGTTGACAAAGTCATCGATTCCATCCATCAACTCTCCATTCAACGCATTCTTCACTTTCTTCAATTTTTTAGCTTTCGTTTTTGTAGTTTTCACTTTAAACGCCTTCTGCAATGTTTTTTTCTTCGGTGATAATTTTTCCACAATGTCTTGAAGTTTTTCTCGCTTTTTAGAGACTGTCTTTGGAAACTTTTGTGGAAATTCTTGAGGAGAAGCTTCCGGATTCGATGATACCTCACTTTAAAAAAAAAACATTTTCCGCCAGAACCGATCCCTCCTCCTCTCCCCCAAAACATCTTAAAACCCCTCTCACAAATTCTTATAAAACGGATTCACAGGACTGGGAAGTGGACTTGGCTTGAGCACTCTAGCCCCAGGTTTCTTATTAGCATCATAAGGAATTCCAGGACTCATCATCAACTACTTGAAGTACTCTGAAGTGTGTTGGCCTCGAAGGGGCTGAAACTTCCCTTGTCGACACGTCCCAACTGCTGTCAAGATCGTACTTAATCTTCTTCGATTTCTTGAAGTTGACAAAGCCATCAATTCTATCCATCAATTCCCCATTCAAAGCATTCTCACTTTCGTCAGTTTATTAGCTTTCGTTTTTGTAGTTCTCACTTTAAACTCCTTCTGCAATGATTTTTCAGAGACTGCCTCTGGGAACTTTTGTGGAAATTCCTCATTGGAAGCTTCAGAATTCAATGATGCCTGATTTAAAAAAAAACAATTCCCTCCAGAACCGATCCCTCCTCCTCTCCCTCAAAACACCTTAAAACCCCCCTCACAAATTCTTATAAAACGGATTCACAGGACTGGGAAGTGGACTTGGCTTGAGCACTCCAGCCCCAGGTTTCTTATTAGCATCATAAGGAATTCCAGGACTCATAATCAACTGCTTGAAGTACTCTGACGTGTGTTGAGCAGTGTTCTTCTGCAACATGATCTTGACCCTCTTCTTCGTAGAGGAACTCACCTGAGGTGTCCCAGGGGTCTTGGTGGGGGTATTGACCTCATCCTCAAGTTTTTTCGCCATAGGATGCAGCCAGGGGACTTCACCCACTCGAATATTCTCGATAATCGAAGGCTTCCCTTGACTTAAACTCGATTTTTTGCTTTCAGGAGTTGTCTTCTGGGGCTTCAAGACCTTGGGAGTGACTATTGGCGTCGAAGGGGCTGAAACTTCACTCGTCGACACGTCCCAACTGCTGTTAAGATCATACTTAATCTTCTTCGATTTCTTGAAGTTGACAAAGTCATCGATTCCATCCATCAACTCCCCATTCAAAGCATTCTTCACTTTCTTTAGTTTATTAGCTTTCGTTTTTGTAGTTTTCACTTTAAACTCCTTCTGCAATGATTTTTTCTTCGGTGATAATTTCTCCTTAGTGTCTTGAGGTTTCTTCAGCTTTTTAGAGACTACCTCTGGCGACTTTTGTGGAGATTCTTCAGGGGAAGCTTCAGAATTGGACGATTTTGAGTCTTTGACTTTCAATTTCTTGGGTTTCGGCTCGATGTGATCATTCTTTCGTTTTTTCTTCCCTCGATTTTTTGCTGAATCTGCGTAAAGTTGCTCCTCGAACTCGAGGAATTTGAGGGCTGCCTTCTTTGGGTTCGTGTCTGGGGATTTCTTCTTGGGGATGTCGACCTTCTGGATCCCCAGGGGCATTGTTCCTTTGGAGAGTTCAGTGAACTCCTTGATGAGCCTTGTGATTCGCCTGCGAGTCTTCGTGGTGGAGGACGGGTGGAACTTGTACTGTTTGATGAGGTTGGAGATCTGGAGGGGGTCGAAGGGAATCTGGGGGAGGTCGACGTTTACTCGACCAGCTCGAGGGTCTAGTGCTGATGATTCTGGGGCTGATGATTCCTCTTCGGAGTCGCCTTCCGGTTCTTCCAGGTCTTCTAGTTCTTCGTCGGAGAGCTCCATCTTTTTCATCGCTTCAATACTACCTGTGGGGTAGCCAGCCTGAGGAAGAGGTGACAGGTGATGAATTATAATTGGATAAATGATAAATCTTGGGATTTTTGCAGGATTAATAATTATTACATAATAATAATCTGATAAAATTTTTAGTCTCCCATTTTCAATTTGTCATTTATTCCATTCATTCTATCAGAAGACAAGGATAGAAATCGAATTTATAGGTATTCTTTCATTATTTTAAAAAATATATCGATTTCAAAACTTTGCCGAGACATTAAAAAATTAATTTTTTTATTTCTCCTCGCCTATGTTTTTTTGGCATTTTTTTCATATCTTATCGTTAAAATTAGATCATAAAATTCGAAGAGAAAACAGTGATTCCAAATTTCCACCGACAGAAGTGAAGAAAAACAAATTGTCTCGATTTTCTAGTCGATCATCCCTTTTTAAAAATTGTCAGTCTCCAATTCATAATTTTTGCAGTTCATTGCCATTTAGCTAATTCTATTCATTCTGTCAAAAGACAAGGATAGAAATCGAATTTATGGGTATTCTTTCATTATTCGAAAAAAGTCGATTTTAAAACTTTCCGGAGACATTGAAAAATTATTATTTTTAGTTCTTCCCATACCCACTGTTTTTGTATTTTTGAATTTCTGGAATACATGGGGAGATTCTTCTATTACCTGAATGAGATTTCGAATGACTTTTGTTTTGTGTTTGTATTGATCACAAAAAAAAACTTTTTATTGATCTTTAACATAATTCCTCTGCATTCAGTGTTGTAATTTGTGAATTACGGGAAAAATAGATATATGTATAATAAGGATGAGAATGGACAAAATTAAATTAATAAATGTGCAGACGGAAATGGAAAAAAAATACTATAAATTCATTTATAAAGCTAACTGTTGATTATGAAGTTGATGTAGTGTTAAAATTATTTCAACGAATGATTGGCAGCAAAATATTAAAGAATTAAACCAAATAATGGTTGAAATTACCTTTCTCCAAGCATCGAACTTCTCCATGTAGTCGATACCAACATCAGATTGGAATATTAAATACCTAAAGATATGTTGCACGACGTTCCTGATCTGTCTCTCGTCCTCCATCGCAGCTAGATAGACAGCAAAAGGCCTCAATAGATCTGTCACGAGGTCCTCGGGGATTTCTCCTCCGCAAACCTTAGAAAATCAATCATACCAGGGTCTTGAAAAAATTCTACCCATGATTTTTTTTTTTCAGAGAATCAAAAATTTAATAGAAAAATTCATACAGCGGAATAGTAAAAGATGACTTCGAAAATTTAGCATAAATTCTTCTGTAAATCTCCGAAATTAAGATTTATAGAAAAAAAATTAGAGGATTTTTCCTATAAATTATATAAATATCTTTCCCCACTAGATATTCACGAAAATAAGAAGCCAATTCTTTCTTTACATAATTAAAAATGAAAATTTGTAACGAAAAATAGAATTTTTTTCAGAAATAAAAAATGTAATAGCAAAATTCCTCATTATAGTATAGTAACAGATGATTTAAAAAATTTCACAAAAATTCTTCTTTAATTATCTCCGAAAAACCACAGCTTTAAAAATGATCGTTTTTATGGATTATAAAATTGCCCACAAAAAACGTTTCCTGATAAATTACTCTAAACCCCTCCTCAATAAATTGTAAAAACAAGAAGCCAATTCCTAAAACAAAGTTTTGATTTCACTTCAACATCAGTTTTTGACAAATATCTTAAAATTCAAGAATCATTTATAACTTTTAATGGAAACTTCTTCAGAATTAAATTTTTTCACAGATTAACCCCTGAGATATTTCGAAAAGCCCTTCTCCCATCATCTTTTCTCACCATTGAATGAATTCTCATCCTCCCACATACCTTAGCCAACTCCTCCATAAAAATCTCCGTGATATGGAATTTGAAGCCTAGAGATCCTTTACTGTCCAACAAAATCTCCTCAACGACTCTGGCAACTTCCTTTGTCCCCTCCTCATTCCACTCCCTATTCTTACACATGACGAATGTCTGACGAAGAATCCTCCTAGCCAGCATTTGGAATTTATCAAGCCTGTACTGGTCGATGCCGAACCACTCAGTGCTGAGTGTCCTCAACGCACACTTTGTGTAGAGAACTGCAGACTCCATCGTCTCGAAGCAGTGAACCAAGTTGCTGATTGATTCTGCTAGTTCCTCTTGCACCAGGGGCTTGTCTGACATCCACATGCAGTAGAAGAGACCCTTCCATAGTCTCATGAAATCTGTCTCTGTGAATACTGAAAGAGGAATAATAATTATCAAATGATTTTGATTAGAATATAAATAAATTTGTCAACTAAATCGCTTGCGTAAAATTTGGATAAATTCGTAAACAATTGATTTTATTTTAAATAAATTCTACAAAAAATTTATTTCTTATAAATGGATAGCATAATTTGTTTAAATAAATGATTTTTGGGAAAAGGAATTCATAGGCTGTAGGTTATTTTTGAAAAAAGGTATTTCCGTAAATGAAGGATTTATAATATTTCATTGTTAGTGGAATTAATGTAAGAAAGGTTAACAAATATGAAAAGATAGAGAAATGAGAGCTTTGGATCAATGATTGAATACGGAAAAATAGCAATCATTAATTCTTGAATAGTCCCCATTTTTTAGCAAAAAATTGAAAAGTTGCAATAAAAAATAATACATAATTTTTTGAATTACAAAATTAATTGGTGAAACCTACAGTTTTTTTTTTTGAATAATTAGCTTTATTTGAATTATGATTTGTAAAAAATATATTTTCTTTAAACCTTCCATCAAATACACAGAATAAATTTCTTCAAATTTTCGGCGAATCATTTTTAGAGAAGGAAATGAAAAATTTATAGATCATTTCTGAAAGTAGGTCATTCTTTTAAATTGAAAATTTATAGTTGTCGAAAACTAATATCGAAATTAACATGAAAAACATTATTGGACATGAAACGAAGGAGAAATAAAAATTTTCACTTATTTTTCCATTATTCCTCAATTTGAGGAAAAAAAATTGATAATTCATTTAATCAAACGATCAGGTTTATTTGAATTATATTTTGGAAAAAATATATTTCCTTTAAACCTTCTTACAAACAAGACCAAATAAATTTCTTCAAATATTCATGCATTGATTTTTACAGAAAGAAATGAATAATTTATGGATTATTTATGCAAGATGGTCATTCTCATAAATTGAAAATATAATGATCAAAAATTAATATCGAAATTAATATGAAAAACATTATTGAACCCGAAACAATAGAGATATAAAATTTTTCAATTCTTCTCAATTTGAGAATAATTCCGAAATTTATAAAAAAATTGCGTTAAAAGGTAATAGATAATATTTTTAATTACCAAATGAACTTTTGGATCGTACAGTGATCCAAGCCCTAAGGTTCTTCAGCATCTTGGTCCTCGCCTTCTTATCATTGCTCGCCAAAACCCTGGCAAACTTGATTTCCTGAGCAATAACAAGAGTCTTCTTCTGCTTCGGTTTCTTGACACTATGGACTGCATCATTCTTCACGAATTTGTTTTGGCTACCAGGGGAGCCCGTGTGTTTTTTGCGTGCACGTGTGCGCTTCAGGAGTTTCTTCACGCCCATCATTAAAACAATCACTACCACTAATTAATTACCAAACTCGTTATCTTGTTTACTATTTCGATTATCGCAGGTGGAGGAGAGACTCGGAGATCAGTTCCTCATTGTATTTGGACTTCGGTATAATTTATTTAGGGGTGAAGTGGAAGGAAAGACACTGGTCAACAGTCGGATTGTTGCGACACGCGTGTGTGCCCTAACCTAACACACTCCTCGCGTGGTTTCCCTCAGTTTTCCTCCTCTCTGAGTGCTCCGGTGGATAAAACAAATTTCTGAATTACCGACTATAATCAACTTGGGTGTCTACAGTATCGATTTTATTAGGTCTTACGTAGTCGCACAATGAGGGGATCCCCGTTTTCTTTCGATTTTTACTTCTGAATGGAGGCCATGTACATAGAGATAGGCGATGTTCTTAAAAACATCGATGTTGTGAATCGATTGTACTGGAAAAAACATGGATTATATTTAAAAAATCGATGTCATTTCTCATTACACAGAAAATAAAAACAATTTTTTTAAGGCCCGGGTGGATTATCTTTCGAACGTTATCTCGATTGTTTTTTCATCTTCATAATGTAAAATATATCACTCTTTCCATTGGATTTTACATCACGCAGGAAGATTGCGCATCGAAAGATAATCCACCCGGGCCTTAATCATAATTACAATTTAATTCCTTCTAGAAACAGACTTTAGAGTGTGAATTTCTGGCATTCAATGCTTGTTGATACTCTGATAAAAGTGCGTGGCCGCACTGTTATCAATTTTCAAACGTGATCTTGGTTCTTTTTTTCTATTTTGATAATTTGAAATGATCTCCAATTGCTATTCAGTTTTACATAGCTCTGCAATCTCCAAAAATTATGATTATGTACAATCAAAACAACGTTGGAAAAAAGCCGAACATTTTCAAGGAGCATTTTTGAATAATACTGGGGAATAACCCCAATAGGAAGGAAATTGCAAATTAATAATTTGATGCATTTAATGGCTGGTAGATCGTCATTTGTGATAATAGTCAATGGCTGTCAGATCGTTGGTTACCATGATAAATTATCCACTCACTATTTCCTTTCTATCGGACTTATTTCTTAATTTTTATTGAAAAACGCGCTTTGAAAATCGTCAGTTTTTTTTCTACTTTTTTTTATTGCACAATCATAATTTTTAGGGACTCCTGCGTAATGTAAAATCCAATGGAAATTGTGATATATTTTACATTACGAAGATGGAAAAACAATCGAGATAACGTTCGAAAGATAATCCACACGGGCCTTAAAATCTTATTCAATGAGCATAGAAATACAGTATATTTTGACACTAGGCCGTGAGGAACGTTCCTAACGAATATGAGTTTACTGGATAAGCCGAAGGCGAGTTCTGTAATTAGAGATGCAAAATGACCGTCATTTTTTAGATCGCGTCATATGACCAAAAAATGACGGGCATGTGACGCACAAATTTTCCAACTACAAATGATTGTCACAAATCATTTGTAACCAAATTGTTGTCAAACCATCTATATAGTTGCACAATGACGGTCATAACTAATTTCCAATTTGTGACGGTCATGAATAAAACAAAATAATTTCATCTATATGGATGGAAAAAAAAACGTGATTTCCATTTTAAAATGCGGATTAGGCCAATACAAAAGAAATTCAACTGAAAATTGACCGAGAAAAAAATAAAGTTCAATCTATATAGATGAAAAATGACCGTCATTTTTTCTTGACAAGTTGTGACGGTCGTAGAAGGGGGAGGGGGAATTGTGACAGCCGTCATGAACGCCTCGTGATGTGACCGTCAATGACGGTCACATGACCGTCATATGACGGGTCATGTGACGCATTTGCATCTCTATCTGTAATCATATGAGGTAGAAAAATTCTTCACGACCGTGTATTGAATAGTATTTTTCATCATTGGGCCCAAAAAAAACGCAGTTTATCAGGCCTAGTGATGAAACGAACATGAGTAAATCAGTTATTGTAATATAAAAATTTAACAGCTGATAAACTCGGACATATGATTCTGATCGGTTGTATTGCTTTTTGCAATGAGAATGATTATAAACAATTAATTGAAAAATGGAATATGGAATCTAACTGGAAAAAAGAGCATAATAACAGAGCATCGATACATCGGGGTGGCGCTAGAAGTAATAGAACTGATAGGAGAGGTAGAATGAATAGAGAAAAGAGATAATATCGTAGTCCATAGATTTATTTATTATAGTATTGTTAAGCATAATATCAGTAGCGTAGTGGTAAGACGGTACAAGTCAATTTTGACTATTGATCAATTTTCAATGAATATCTCAAAATCTAAGAAAGATAGCAAAATTTCTGTTGTGACGTATTGGGATCGACCAATACGTCGGTTTAGTAATTAATAATATGAAAGGATCATATTACCACTGGATGAGAGGAAAGAGAAACATTTCTCCATCCTGCCATCCAGACATTAGTCAGCTATACCATGGTGTCTTTTGGACACCATGGTCAGCAGTCACACGGTTTTCGCAAGTCCAGTTCAAGTAAACCGAACTGTTTGACTGTGTAGGTTTCTGTCAAATGAAGGCACGGAACCGTGTTAGTGAAGAAGACCGTGGGATTGCTTAAATAAGCATTTTTGGGGCTTTGACGAGCTTGGGAGGGTACCCTGGACTCCCCCAAGAGACAGAGTACGATCAGGAGCAGAGTCGAGCGGACCTCTAGCTCAGGCCTTCAGCCATACAAGACAACAACGAGTCAAAGTCCCGAAGTCAAATCAATATTATAGAACCGCGTTATACCGATCCATTGAACACTACCGTGTATAAATTAACCACCAATATACAGTTATTTTACCTACATCTAGTACGGTGGATTTAGTATCGTTAATCCTTTTTCTATCCTTGTTCGAACATCCCTCCGAGTGAGCGAACTCCCCGTGAGCTCACCGCCGAAACCAGCCGGTCAACATAGGGTACGACGGCCCTAGGAAGGAAGGACTTATTTCTATTTGTGACTAGTCCCAGGGACTAGTCATATGTTAGATCACCCAGGATTAATGCGGTGGGTGATCTAAGTCAAAACGTCACACTGTTATAACCTTTTTGGCAGAGCCGATGGAGAGCTACAACAAATGTAGTTACTAAAATTTCGCCATCTCCCTGAGATTCAGAAATATTCCTAAAAAATTCAACTGGGAGATATGTCGACTTAAACCATTTTACCACTTCACTGCTGATATAATATTGTTAGGATGTATGCATTTTCTTATTTTTTTGTATGGTAAACGTAATGTAACTTGGCAAAATAGATCGATCACAGAATACGTTTCATCTAATCTTCCACACAGGAATTCTCGGACAGCTCTAGCGAGGGATTGTCCGTCATGTATTCTCCATAATTAATCGTGTTAATGCGAAACGCCAGGAATCCCCCAGATTTCAGTGAAGTTTTGTATAAAAGTCCAACACTGGTTAAAGGACCTGAGGGCTCATTCTCGACAGCTTGGGCATCCAGAAGAGGCAAAGTTGTTTGTGAAATATCTGAGGAAAATTTTGACATTTCAAAACTGACTTAATGATTGTCTGCTGTCACCGGAATGTTGTCAAATCTTGGCATCGTTTCTTCAAGTGGATTGCTGCCCCAAGGGTCATCGATTTTGTATCTGAAAATATCAAGCCCATTAGTTTGTTCCTATATTACGATTGTGGAGAAATAATAAGAATATTGAATGTTTTTTTAACGGTTTTTCAAAGTTTGAACGTAATTGTCGGTTTTTCCATCACTTCCTCATGAACTTGTGATTGATTTAACCATTGAATGGTCGCATAATGAGGGAATCCCCGATGTTTTTCATTTTTTCTTGTCACACAAAAACTTTGTGAATGAAAAATCCACAAAAATTTGTATTCCTACTTTCAAATATATGGAACACATCTTTTTTTCGGTCCAGAGTTACACCAATGAATTATTAAAATCATCTGAAAACTTGACTCGCTGAAAATCCCTATATTTAACTTCAATATAGAATCCAATTATGATTTAAACTATTCTTCCCATTGTGATCGAGTTCGATCATGAGATTGATTGCATGATCTGTTGTTGAAAAAATTTATTTTGAAACCAATATTCAAGGAAACTTGAAAAATTTTAACGTTGGGGCAATGTTGGCCGTCAACGTTGGGGCAATGCTGAATTCAATGAATCATTGAATTCAATTTAAAATGCATCCTATTTATTAGCGAAAAGATACTGACTATGTTGTGACGAAAGCAATTTTCCACTTGTTTCATTTTATAGGTTATGAGGGGCACCTCCAAAGGAGCTGTTTACTGTCAGATTTCAGTTCTTAACCCTAGATTGGTCACCCTATGAGGGATTCCCAGCCTTTTTCCATATTTTTTTTACGAGTAAATGATGGTTCGGAAAATTTTGAAAAAATTTGATTTTGTCAATTGGAATGTCTAGAATTTAATAGTATTTTTTTATCACGCTGTGGGATAAAGTAACTTTTTAGGTGCGCTTGGCGTACCTAAATCGTCCATTTTCTACACATTGTAATGAAAAATATCGTTCGAAACTCATGGTAAAAGTGTTTTTTGGCTCGTCGTATTATATCACTCGCCTTCGGCTCGTGCTATAAACTTCCCTCGAGTCAAAAAGCATTTTTCCGCGCTCGTATTGAACCATACTATTGTCACTTCTATCAATTCAATGATTAGTCTCAGAAAAAATAATAATGGTAGAGAGAACCCGCAAAAGCAGGGGTCCCCTCACTATGTGACCAGAGTCGTTGGAGGTTTTCGTCGCGCGGCGTCACCAGTTACTCTCTAGCGCGTTCCTCCACTCCTTACGTACCTAGTCGGCAGGGTTGGGCGTGTAAATTACGTTGGTAAATTACACCGTTTTTGACCGGCGAAATTTACGTAAATTACCTCGACGGGTTTTTTTACATTTTTTACATTCCTTCGAAAAGCTTGCAAAGACGCAGTATTGGACACATAAAAAATAGTATATTGTGGCCCGAGGACAGATAAACTGCGAATTTTAATTTCACTTTGTTCGGTTAGAACGCGGTTCTCGGTACTTGAGGCATAAAATATCATTTTATGTCCCTAGGACTGTAAAACCGCGATTCTAACATCGATTTCCTCGATTGAATCGCGGTTTTTGGGCCCAAAGACATAAAATATTGTATGCCACACGGCGATAAAACCATTTCCTGACTCGTATGATTAAAATCCACGATTCGCGGCATTTTAAGAAACACAAAAACATGACCTCATACCTCGTAAAGAGTAAATTTCACGAGGGTCAAACGTTGTAAAAGACCAATGTCACAAGTCATCTCCGTTGTGAGAAAGTCAATCTCATTATCAATTGAACTTTATTGGATTTTCTGCTTTATTGTCTGTAGCCCGGGAAAAGCCTAGTTGGACCTGAAAAGAACCATTTTGTTCTGAAGAGTTCAAAGAAGCTACCAAAGACAATTGAATTAGTTTTATCATTTAAGAATGTTGAATGACACAAGTTAATGTCAAGACACAAGATGATGACGCCACGAATTCAATAGAGATCAATAAATAATGAGATTGACCCTTGTAAAATTCATCCCTTACACGGTATGACCCTCGTGATTTATCACCCTTGTGAGGTATAATCTTCGCGAAGCTTCACGGTTTACGATAAAAAGTAACGTCGGCTGGTTTTTTACATTTGTTACATTTATTACGTAAATTACGCGTTTTTTACGATGTCATGTAAAAAACTGCGGTCATCGATAGATGCCCACCGCTGCTAGTCGGTACCGACTGATAGACTTGGTGAGACTCAAGGGTTTTGGCAACTTCGCAGCGCCGTTAACATTGCAAGGAATGCCTCACGTCGTGACCAAAGTCGCAGGGGCGAGTCAGGTGACCAGACTAGGGTTAATTTTCTCTTTGATTTTATATTCTCTGTCATAACCCTTTAACCAATGGTTTAAATATAAGGTGCATTCATATGTTTAATTTACAATAGCTTTGGTAATCCCATTATTTGGGGTTTATTGGATTTTTTAAATTGAATTTTCTTTGTGCAGAGTAAATTAATCCCCTGATGAAGGACACTTTGGTGTTCGAATCGTTGGCAACTGAAGAAGAATTGGATTCCCTCTTTATTTTTAATTTTTTTATTGCTGTGATGACCGTTGATGGCTCAGAAATGAGGAGCTTTTAATGAGAAATGATGAGATTTTTGAAAATTATTACTTGTTACGGGTCGACAGTCTTGTGAGTATGGTACGGCACTTGGACAGCAATCGACCGGATGTGAAGTTGAATTTCATGGATTCAACTTTCAATTTTAGGTGTTGATTTCCGCCGTCGGGCTCGATGAGAGCGAATGTTATGCCTAAGATGCAATAAATAAGAATCATATGAGTGTAATCTATCAAATATGAATATGAAAATAATTTTTCCATACTGACTTGCACTTTTCCTCGTCCGAGGATTGGTATTGGCCCTTTCCCAAACTTGTAAAAGTAAAAATCACTAGGGAAAAATGTTGTTCACGACTAGTGCCATGGACTTTTTTTTACTCGCGTGGTTGGCCAGTCCTGGCCTTCGGCTCGGGCGCCAACTCCAACACAACATTGCGTCGTTATACATTAAAGAAAGGAATTTATATAGCGTTCCACATCTTTGTGACGTTATAGGACATGATTGGAGGGGATTTGGACGAGGCAGGAGGAGAACTGGGATTATTCTCAATATGAATACACGCATGAAAAAAATAAATAGAAAACCTAGCGAATTTGCTAGAAAATTCTGTTGGAATTGTATTGAACAATTCTATTTGTTTTTCGCGCTGATTCTATTGGCTATTCAATAAGAAAAAGTCAATGGATTTCGTATTTCTGTTAAAATTTTTCTCTTATATTTTTTTTTAATTAGAATTATCCGGCACAAATTTTTCAAGTTTTTTCCATTGGATTTTCTTTTCTTTTGCATTACAGAATCCGAGTGGAAAACTCTTAGAAAATTAGTGTCGGATAATTGTAATTAAAAAAATATAAGAGAAAAATTTTAACAGAAATTCGAAATCTATTGACTTTTTCTTATTGAATAGCCAATAGAATCAACGCAAAAAACAAATAGAATTTTTCAATAGAATTCCAATAGAAATTCTGTAGAAACCCCATAGAATTCCTATAGAATTACAATCGAATTTTCTAGCGAATTCGCTAGCTTTTCTGATTAATTGTTTCATACGTGTGGCCAAAAAATTTTTACTGAAAAAAATTGATAGTCCAGACCGGGATCTGAACCCGGGACCGTCCGATAATGGAACGCCTTCGGCTCGGACGCCAACTCCACGCGAGTAAAAAACCCCGTAGCACTCGCCTTGAAATATACTATTGGGGTGTGGATGATTCCAATGGTTTTCGTTAAAACTCCTTTCCTCCCGGATTATAGAACAGAAATGAAATTAGGTGAGAAACATTTTGAAATACCAGTAATAAGGGAATCCTTTTCCACGAGGATCTCCTCAAGGTCAACATAATTAGACTTGGAGTCAATGATGACATAATCCTTCAAGGCTGTGTATGCCGATGACTTCTGGTTTTGGACGTCTTGAAAGGTCGAGAATGAAATATTGCAATTGGTCCACTTTTCTGAATCCTTATCAATTTGTCCGCCAGGAAGTAATTTTCCTTGCTTTATTTGGATGCAAATTATTGAATGGTCCCTGAAGAACCGAAGTCCCGTAACAACCCCGGAATTAATAGGTTAAAAGATGGGAAGACTGAGTTATTCAGTGTGAAGTTCAGTAGCGCAGCGGTAAAACAATTTAACCTTCCTGTAGTCGCACGTCTTCGCCGAACGTTGTTGGTCGCGTGGTAAGCACTGCGCTGTCCGTACATTCTCAAACGCTGCGTTGCCAGAGCCGTACGACACTATAAACATATCACCGGCCAGCGACCCCCCACTCCGCACACGCTGCTTGGGACTACCAAGAGGTTCGGCAACACCGCTCGTCAAATTTCCACTACGAGAGTGGTTGCACGGTGAGCGCTGCGCTCATTTTCGCTAACCGCGCGCAACAAAAAAATTAATTGAGAAAAAAATTGTCAGTGCAGGGCAACCCTACCGTGTTTAATCTGATCAGGACATATCATTTGGGGAATTCGTAAACAGGCAGAGCGTAATTCATCACATTTCTAGAGATATCGTGGAAATAACAAAAACGGCGGCATTCAGACCATAGCACGACCACTGGAGTTTTAAGGAACTTCCGCAGTAAACTTTGGGGCTATAGAGCGGGGGAAAATATCAAAGGCTGAGACACTCCGCTGCATTTTACCGCTTCGCTACTGAGTTTACGTGAAATTATGAACTTTACATGTTTTCATCAGTATTGCTTCGAGTAATCCGCAAACTGAACACAGAAACCCCCTCGCCTGTTGCCTTTCGGTCACCACCTTCGCATGTGCAGATATAGGTGTCATGTATAATGGAACTGAAATTAATGTGAATCGTTATGAGTTTGATTTCCGAAAAAAAAATATATAAAAGTCAGTAATCGTCAATATGCAATATGAAAAAGTCAGTTTTACGAGCTCGGACGATCAGGTGCCAGTCTCCGTACGGTTCCTTGACAGTCATTTTGATTGCCGTAAATCGTCCCGTTTTTACTTTCAATCCAATCATATATTCTAGGGCTTGTCCTCGGCTAGCGAACAGAGAATTCACTCATTTGTATTAATAGTCAATTACAGTTTCTCCAAGCGACTGATATTGATGATCAGTGAATTTACCAGTTGACAAACTTTGTGAACCTTGAAATAGATACAGTCAAAACGGCAATGACAGACGTATCCATCATTATCAGCGTAGGGCAACGGGCCGCCTTTAATACATGGGTCTCTACATGATTTAGTGGCAGCATGACCATAATCCTCTACTACCACACGTCTATACAATCTTTCCATTTCAATAAAAGTAACATCTGAAAGTCCATAAATATAGAGTGAATGGTTAGAGCGAGTGGCACTCTACAGGGTGTCCCACAACCGATCCTTTTCCTTCGAGGGTATTGAAGAGGGTGCTTTTTGAAGTGGAAAGTTCGTCTTCCGTTTTTGGATCTGAGCACTTTTTTCCCACTTTTTGGAAAACTGATTTTGGGCGCGATAGGGCAAGAGGGGGGAGAAATGAAAAGAACGTGTTGAAATGAAAAAAAAACGACAAAAATTGGAACGATTTCAAAAAATAAATATACGCTTCTGAAATCAGTAGAAATAGACCATAAGATAAAAATGTCAGAATAAAAGTGGGAGGGGAACTTTCCACATCAAAAAGCACCCTCCTCAATACCCTCGAAGGAAAAGTAATAACTGTAATGACTGAATTTATTATAGTATCCATTTGATCGAGCCTCAAAGTAGCTCTCGAGACCATTCATTTGAAAATCCGATGACTCTGTGTTTACATACGGAAGACAAAAGAAAGCGATAAGGCGGCGCTCGAGGGTCCGAGAAGGGGATTAGGGGTAAACGAGTAGCTACTAAATATCCTTGCCAAATATCCATTTACTGAAAAAAATATTTATTTTTTCTATATCGGAATTCTCCACTCGAGTCATTTTCAGGGAAGTCTCATTAGCTTACAATTATGACAATTATATTGCTCTAGAAGATGATCATGTTAGTTATGACCTTGAGTGAAAGATTACAAATAATGATTATAAACATTAAAAAATTAATCGAAATTCTTCTCTGTAGAAAATAAATTTAGGAAAAATAAATAATCATTGGAGGAGTTCATCCAAGGTCATGGGCAACATAGTCATCCTCTAGAGCAGCTTGATTGTCATAATTGAAACCTCATCAGGCTCGACTGGGAATGACTCGACTGGACAAATACTATTCAAAAAATGAATGCTTCTCTCAAGTATTATAAATGAATATTTTACAAAAATAATTTTTTTTCTCGAGTTCTTATTTTCGATTTGAGATATTGGCCATGCTTTTTTTTAGAAAACATTTTTACATATAAACGAAAACGGCAAATAAATGGTAACAAAAATACGATTCCGAATCTTATCGAGTATTCGGGAAATTCCTTCTAGTTTTTAAGTTATTGCTATCAGCTTGACTGTTCATTTTTACAATCGAGTTAAAAAACATTCTAAACAATTCTGTCGTTTCCAATGAAGCATTGAGTTTTACCTATTATTTGTGAGACACGTGGCAAATATTAGGTTGAGCATTTTCGAAAACAGATATATTCAAGGTTAATAACCAAGTAAAAAGATAACTTTATCATATGCACGGTACATTCTTCCACTGCCACTTATTTCATGTCATCACAGTTTTCGCTGAGAATATGCGTTTCGAATTTTCGAATGAACCCGCTGAATATCATTTTACTGATCGATAAACTCCTGATCTATTTATACCAGATGTTCAAGTTTAAGATCGTTCTTAGGATTTCTCAACCCATACCGAACATCTGATGCAGCCAATAATATCAAATGTTTTTATCACCTACCTTGATTTCTTTGGCGGGAGGCTTGCTTGGAGGTCGATGTTGTCTTATGTAGAGATGCGAAGCGGTAATGATACCGGTAATTTACCGTAACAATACCGGTAATTTACCCATCGTCGGTAAAATACCGAAATGGTAAATAATCACTTTCACAGCGCAAATTACCGTAATTACCAATTTAAATTCCATTACGGTAAATTTACATCTATATAGAGCGATTTTGGAAAAATTACTAACAATTTTTGGTAATGATAATTATGATTTTTTGTCTTTTGAATTACATTCGGGACTATGAGAAGGGTGGGGGGCGACTTGGTGAACAACTGCACACACTAATGATACTACAATTTCATCCGTAGAGATACGTTTATGTGTGTGTGCGTGTATACGCCTTCTTTCCTCTGTTTTGGCGGGCATTTTAGTCAGTCAAGAAGAATAATATTATAAATAATGTTATCAAAGAACAGAGGATATTTAACTAAAACATATAGAGTTATTATCATTATTATTGAAGAAAGAAAGAAGTCTGATTAAAAAGTTTGATTAAAAAAACTCTAAAATTATTACTATTGTTTGTATTCTTGTGAAGATACATTGTACTTGAGAAAAGTTGAATAAATAGGAAGTGTTTAACCAAATATTGATTTGTGTTCCCAAATAATGAGTCCATTGCAAAATCTGAAGCATATTACATATTACTTCATTTTTGGGAATATTGATAATTTCTAGAAAGCATAACATATTTTTTATGTACAGAATAAATTCAAAAGCATCTATATAGATGTAAATTACGGTAAATTACGGTAATTTTACCGGAAAAAAGTGTTACGGTAATTTTGCATCAAACTAAAAGTTTATTTGTCCATTACGTAACAATACCGTAAAATTACGGTAATTTTACTGAAATTTTACCGAAAATAAAATTACCGGTAATTTCACATCTCTAGTCTTATGCGTTTCTGTTATGAACTAATATTATCCCAGAATTCAATCCTTTCTTCTGAACACATCGAAGATCTATCCCACCCTGGTGATTGAAGAACCACGGTGTAGCCACGTAATTACGTGGTTGTTACGTGGCTGTTATGTGGCTAATTTTTATCGCTGAAAAAGCCATAATTAGAGTATTTGGGGGTGAAAAATTATAAAAAATGATAATGTATGAATATTTATCGTAACATAAAATGTGAATCTAATTAATAATACTGTTATAAAGTGGAATGATATAAGGATGTAAATAATGGTTACAGCCATTTCATCATAGCTGTCTATACTTGGTATCTACATGACCGACCGCTGACGTATGAATTACCGACCGCCATCATGTGGCGCCAAAATCAGTGTATAACTGATTTTTACCTAAACTGGGTGGCCCCAGTTTTCAAATAGTCAAGGTGCTTTGTGTGAAAAGTCAAAATAATGAAAAAAAATGAGGGAATTCATGGGAGAAATGTCTGAGTATGCTGCATCATTGAGAATTTTTGCACATTTTTTTCAGATCTCAGTCGCGAGAAAAAAAATGATGAAATATGGATGTTCATGTAACCCCTTCAGTTATAACCTCCGAAGTTACCCTCCTCTCAATTAGGGAAATTTCCATGACACCCAAAAAAATAATGAACTATTGAGAAAAAACTAGTGAGTGATAGATCAAATCTTTCTTGAGAACACATATAAGTTTCAGATTTTTATCAGATTTCAGAAGAAACTTATTTGAACAAATGATTCGGAAAATTATGAGTTTCAGGCGAATTACGCCTTCACGCGCAGGCGCGTGATTTGAATGCCAGTAAGCGTCATGGGGAAGGTACGGGTTGGAATCCTAACCCTGATCGGTGGAGAAGTGCATGCGGTTCAGGCGTTCTTTTTACCGCTGCCATCAATTAAAATTTAATTCATCCATTAACTTTTTCAATTTCCGAATTTCTTTTAAAATAAATTTTTCCTTTTATCGCCAATATTTTGACTACTAACGCAATTTAAACACTTAAATTAACAACCATAAGTTCGATGGATTAAAAAAAACCGATATTAAAAGAATTTCGATCATATTCATAACTATCTTAATAATGACTGACATGGAAATAACTCCATGTATCTGTATTTAATCCTAACAAACTAAACAAGATTAAATAATTTACAATTGAAGACCTATCTTATTATCAATAAAACTGATCACAATTACGAATATCTTGCATCCATTCCTTCAAACGACTGCTTCGCTATTTTTACCAAGTTATCACTCATCGCATGCCCCGTTTTCTTCACAAAAGAAGAGAACTTCCCATGTCGATTCTTGAGTAACACATAAGGATGATCAAATTCAACAATTCGACCATTATCCATAACAATAATTTTATCACTATCCATAATTGTATTTAACCTATGCGCAATAGTTAGTACTGTACACGTCATGAACTTCGATCTAATAGTTTTTTGGATCAGCATGTCCGTATGAGGATCGACATTGGCAGTAGCTTCATCCAACACAAGTATCTTATTGTTCCTTAAGATAGCCCTCGCAAGACAAACCAGTTGCCTCTGCCCAACACTAAAATTCCCGCCCTTATCTACAACTTTGCCATCAAGCCCATTCGCTTCTCTGACCACCGCGTCCTTCAACTCGACTTGTTCTAGCGCTGTCCAAAGGGCATGATCACTAAACTCATTGAAAGGATCGAGATTCTTCCTCAAAGTGCCTGAGAACAGCACGGGCTCTTGAGGAATAATAGCAATATGTCGTCTCAAGTCCTCTAAGCTGATACTCGCTGTATCAACTCCATCAATCTCTATGATTCCCTCAATCTTCGTCAATCGAAACAGGGCCGATATCATAGAAGACTTTCCCGCTCCGGTACGTCCAACGATTCCTATCTTCTCCCGTGGTTTTATCATGAAATCCACATCGTTCAATACAGCAGGCTCATCATCACTGTATCTCATAAATACATGTTTGAACGTAATAGCTCCTTCCGTCGGCCAATTAGCAGGCTTCGTCGGTTTTGATTTCTGATTCTTGCTCTCCTCTCTCTTTATCTTTTCCCCCTTCGCAGGATCGACATGATCAGAAGTGTCTTCCGGCACTAATGACGAATATTCCAGAACTCTCTCAACAGACATCATCTGATTAAGCACTTCTGCATATTGGCGAACTCCCCATTGTAGTAGACTCGTTATTGAAGTGATCGAGGTGATGGCCAACCCCACCTCTGGTCCGCTGTATCCACTGGCTAGCAACAAGCCAAACGTCACAATAATCGTCAGGACCCAGCAGAATACGTCAAGTGAGAAACCGAAAGCAGCACTAGTCGCTGTGAACATGAACCAGGCGGAGCTATGTCCGTCCTGGAATCGGTCGAATTCAACCATCAAGAGTTCCTGACCACCGAAAGCTCTGATTGTCATCAAACCATTCATGGTTAAGTTAAGGTGAGTGAATACAGGCGCCTTCATCACAGCTTCCAGCCTCTTAAGATTCTTGCTGATCTTCACGTAGATCCTAGCTATCCAATAAAGCGCGTACGTGATGAGAGCGAATGAAACAAGAAAGATCGGATTTATGGTGCAGGTGATCACAATAACACCGCAAGTGATAGTCATGGCGATAGCAGCATCTTGCAGAGTCTTCGGTAGGAGATCGTCGATCGCATCGATATCTTTTGAGAATCTGTTGAGAATTCTGCCACTTGGGTTCATACTGAAGAACTGCATGCCGGTTCTTATCAGAGCGCTGAAGGCGTTGTCGTGCAAACACTGACTCGACTTCATACACACCATGTAGAAGAGCACCGATTGTGTCATGCCGAAGACAAAAATCGACAATGTGATTCCAGTGTACGTGAAAATCCCTGTGTAGGCAGGTTCGATATCGTATTCATCAGCAATTGTGGCCAGTGAAGCATTGCTATTTCTTGATCTCAGGTAGTCGTTGAATCGTTTCTCCTCAGCACTCACCAGTTTTGGGAAGAACATATCGTAGGAAGTGACCGCGACTTGTGTTACAACGAGAAAGAGTGCAACTGCCACGATCAGCAGCCAATTATTTCCGCTTTTTAGATAATTGATGAAGATGGAGCCAGCCACGGTGCCTCGCGACGTCTTCTCCAAGGAATTTGCTATCTCCATACCGTTATCGTCCTCCTCCGCTGCAGCAGCGTCAACAGGTACTTGTGGAATCTGACTTGCCGCGGTTTCTACATGCAGCGATGCCTTCCTATCCGCGATTTCAGGATTGTTGCTATCAGGATCAGCTGTGGAGTTGCATGCCAGGAGCTTGGAGTATTCCGAACGCGCCGATAATAATTCATCGTAATTTCGAAATTTCTCTAGCTTTCCGTGTTCCACCAGCAGAATTTCATTGGATCCGTTGATATATTGCAGCTGATGGGTCACTAGAATCCGCGTTGTGCCTTCCAAGTATTTCTCGACGCACTCTTCGAACAGGTACTTGCCGACTTGTGTGTCAACGGCGCTCAAGGGATCGTCGAAAATATAGATATCCGATTTTCGATAGACCGATCTTGCCAGGTTGATTCTAGCCTTTTGCCCTCCCGACAGTGAATTCCCTCGCTCTCCTAGGATTGTTTGGTCCCCCAGGGGAAACTGTTCAAAATCACTCGGCAAGGCACACACTTTCACGACTTCTTCGTATCTGTGAGGGTCATATGGCTGCCCAAACAGGATATTCTGGCGGACAGTTGAGCCGAATATCCAGGCTTCTTGACTCGCGTAACTGATGCTCCCGTTGATATCTACATGACCTTCAGTGATTGACATTTCACCGAGGATCGCTGATATCAGGGAGCTTTTCCCGGAACCAACAGCACCAATCACTATGTAAACTTTTCCCCGTTCGATTTCAGAGTTAACGTCTTGTAAAGTATTTTCGATCGACTTGTCATCCCATTTGGCCGTCAAATTGACTAGTCTTATAGAGGTACTTTTTTTGGTATCAGGTACGTACTTTCTATGTCCTTCATTCGGATCACTGCGGACTGGTCTCTCCGGAGACATCTCCCTGTCAGCCTTCCCAACACCTAACTTCGATATGCGCTTTGATGTGATCATCTTCATCGCCGTCCAATCCATATCAGTCCGAAATTCCTTCGTCATCAATAAACTCTCAAGTCGTTTCACTGTTACGATACACTGAGCAATCTCCGATATACCTCGTGAGAACATGAAACCCATTACTTCAGCGAGAACCGAGTAGTAAGCGAAGAAGACGAATACCTTTTCGGTTGACAATTGCTGACCAAATAAGATCATTCCAACTAGCGTGCAATACAGCGCTGTGCGAGGTACGAAAAGATAGAGTGTCATGAAAGCTCCGTGGATCCACGAGTTCTTGCGAATTATACTAAGTTCCAATTTTCGAATGAGTGCTATCTTTTGGCAGAACGGCTTCTCCCAGGCATACATCTTTATTACTTGAACACCAGAGATTATTTCGTTCATTACACGAACACGCTCGTCTGTCTTCACTGTTGTTTGGAGACGGTATTTTGCTGATAGCTTGCCCGTGTAGGCTGAAAAAGGATGGACGACAATTACAATTACCAATTTATGAACAATTAAACGGGCTTTGACTTGAATGAAATATTGTACCGAGTGGAAATTTAGTTGAGGTATCGCCTGATCATGATTTGGTGTAGATCCAATACCGATTTGGATTTTTTGACAAGATGGTATGCATTACGATACGGCCAAATTAAGTGAAATCTATCTGGACCTAATGAGGCTGTGCTAATTTTGATCCTGTTCTGATCAGTTGAACCAATATTAGATCCAAAAGGTACCCGGATACTTGTTTCCCGGAAAATCCTTCTCCGGGAAATTGTTCCCCAGAGAATTGTTCTCCGGAAAATTGTCCGTCACGACTTTTTTCTTTGCGCCAATTTCTATGTTATTTCTATTTGATACATCTAGATGGTAAGTTTCGATCCACCCGGCGTCTAGTAGTTATCACTACACAGGCTGAGAGTGGTGCCTCATTGCTGACATTGTCATCACGATTGTAGCATGGTATTGTCAACATTTTATCATGTTGAATCAATATTGATTTACATTTTTCACGCGGACTTGTTCTCGAATTTGGGATTTCATATTGTTTGATTTGTTGTAACATGTATTTCAGTAGTGAAGTGGTCAAACGGTTCAAGCCAATTCCGNGTTCATTACACGAACACGCTCGTCTGTCTTCACTGTTGTTTGGAGACGGTATTTTGCTGATAGCTTGCCCGTGTAGGCTGAAAAAGGATGGACGACAATTACAATTACCAATTTATGAACAATTAAACGGGCTTTGACTTGAATGAAATATTGTACCGAGTGGAAATTTAGTTGAGGTATCGCCTGATCATGATTTGGTGTAGATCCAATACCGATTTGGATTTTTTGACAAGATGGTATGCATTACGATACGGCCAAATTAAGTGAAATCTATCTGGACCTAATGAGGCTGTGCTAATTTTGATCCTGTTCTGATCAGTTGAACTAATATTAGATCCAAAAGGTACCCGGATACTTGTTTCCCGGAAAATCCTTCTCCGGGAAATTGTTCCCCAGAGAATTGTTCTCCGGAAAATTGTCCGTCACGACTTTTTTCTTTGCGCCAATTTCTATGTTATTTCTATTTGATACATCTAGATGGTAAGTTTCGATCCACCCGGCGTCTAGTAGTTATCACTACACAGGCTGAGAGTGGTGCCTCATTGCTGACATTGTCATCACGATTGTAGCATGGTATTGTCAACATTTTATCATGTTGAATCAATATTGATTTACATTTTTCACGCGGACTTGTTCTCGAATTTGGGATTTCATATTGTTTGATTTGTTGTAACATGTATTTCAGTAGTGAAGTGGTCAAACGGTTTAAGCCAATTCCGTTCTAGCGCCAGTTCTCGATGAATATCTCAAATTCTAAAGGAGTTAGCAAAATTTTCCGAAAATTTTTTTTTGTAAAGAAAAGTGAAGACTATCGAAAAAGATCTTACAAAAATTACGCTATCTTTTTCAATTTCCGAGTTATTCACCAAAAACTCAACTGGGAGCTAAGGCGACTTAAACTGATTAACCACTTCACTATTTATTTGCTGATTTTCGTTTTTTAAAAAATATGTACATGACCTTATAATTTGGTGTTTTTTCGTTTCTTATTGTGGTGAATAACGTTCTTCATTTTATTTTGCGGCTAGTTTTCGGAGTTTCTTTGGGGAACAATTTTTCGGGAACGATTTTCCGGCGGAACATTTTTCTCGGAACCAGGGTTGGGCGTGTAAATTACGTTGGTAAATTACACCGTTTTTTACCGGTGTATTGGATATATAAAAAATAGTATATTGTGGCCCGAGGACAGATAAATTGCGAATTTTAATTTCACTTTGTTCGGTTAGAACGCGGTTCTCGGTACTTGAGGCATAAAATATCATTTTATATCCCTAGGACTGTAAAACCGCGATTCTAACATCGATTTCCTCGATTGAATCGCGGTTTTTGGGCCCAAAGACATAAAATATTGTATGCCACACGGCGATAAAACCATTTCCTGACTCGAATGATTAAAATCCACGATTCGCGGCATTTTAAGAAACAAAAACATGACCTCATACCTCGTAACGAGTAAATTTCATGAGGGTCAAACGTTGTAAAAGACCAATGTCAGAAGTCATCGCCCATGTGAGAACGTCAATCTCATTATCAATTGAACTTTATTGGATTTTCCGCTTTATTATCTGTAACCCGGGAAAAGCCCAGTTGGACCTGAAAAGAACTATTTTGTTCTGAACAGTTCAAAGAAGCTACCAAAGACAATTGAATTAGTTTTATCATTTAAGAATGTTGAATGACACAAGTTAATGTCAAGACACAAGATGATGACGCCACGAATTCAATAGAGATCAATAAATAATGAGATTGACCCTTGTAAAATTCATCCCTTACACGGTATGACCCTCGTGATTTATCACCCTTGTGAGGTATAATCTTCGCGAAGCTTCACGGTTTATGATAAAAAGTAATGTCGGCTGGTTTTTTACATTTATTACATTTATTACGTAAATTACGCGTTTTTTACGATGTCATTTAAAAAACTGCGGTCATCGACAGATGTCCAACGCTGCTCGGAACCAATCCAGACCAAATCCTAGCATTTTGATCAGGCTTGGATCCAAACAAGCGTTTGATTTCTGGTCTGGACTGATCAGTGTAAATATCATTCTGATGTTGCTTTATCAGTTTCGATCAGGATGGGATACCAAAAAGGGTGAATGAGATCAGAAATGGAAACTGTTTTCATTCGACATGGATTCACTTATCAACAAGTTTACATGACGAAATTTAGGTTCATGTTGGATCAAAACAGGTGTTCCATTTTTGATCCGAGAGATCAGGTATGACATATCACCTCCCCATTTCGACAGTATTTCGATTTCCACTTGGCACCTTCAATTCAAATGATCATATAATTTACATTGAATTGGTACGATGATAGATATCACCGTGATGCCGATCAATCCGCTATAACCAGCTTCAGTCCACAAGAAATATCCAACAATAATCGCAGCCAATGGAGCTGACCACAAATAGTGAATGAACACGAGTATGAGATCAAATCGATTGACATCATTAGCGAGCAGATTAACTATCTTTCCTGGTGTTGTCTCACTCAAGCTCGTGACATTCAGACGCAGTGCCTTCCGGTAAACCAGTGAGCAAACAGCAATGCGAATCCTCCCACCAATGTGATAGACTTGATACAGCCAGTGATTCGCAGCAATTGCAAATATTGCCGTGGCTAAGCAGACTCCACCTGCATACATCAATGTTTCATTGTAACTGATGCCTTTATCTTCCCGGAAATAACGCAGCAGTTGGCCAATCAGCATTGGTGTTCCTAATCTGTTGTGCAGAGACAAATGACATTAAATATTTGATCGGAATTATCGAACAACTGTGACGATTCTTTAGGATGATTTACCGTAGAAGGAACTCATTTATAATTTGCAGTGCTCCGAGCCAGACTAACTCCCACCAGAAACATTTGAATAATACCCTTGTGAGACTCGGAGATCGACGATGCTTTGCTGCCCTCTCACATTCTCCTTTCCAATGTCTGTTTTTCGGAATTTTTGTTTCATGAGAATCACAATCTATTCAGTCTTAAAAAGACAAGTCTCAGGGAGAAGCTGTCGTAATGACAGAACAGCAAGATTTGAAACAATGAAAATTATTGCCGGAGACTTTCTCTTGATGGATGAGGTAGACATTGGAGATTGAAGAATTCTTCAGACAAGAATGATTGGTTACTGACCATCGACGGAACTGATCTCAAATAACTTATTTAAATAATCTTCCAGTCTCGTCTGTAGGAATTCCCGATTGGCTTCAATTTTCCAAGTCCTTCCCGGATCCACCAAGATTTTCTCTCGGTACACCAGTAGGTGATTATGAATCCCCCCTTAGACTTGTTGTGTTTCATCATTTCGCTACTAATATTATCGATAGAATTTACTTGTCTATCCGATCTCCCAGTGAGTTCGACTGGTCATCATTCAGCGGATCGTACAGGTCCTCTCTGGCCAAGATTTTACTGTATCCCAATTTGAAGAATTTGATAGTCCACCTTGATCCAAAGTGCATTTAAAAACACTATTAATAACACTACGAGACACTGGATTAAGGATAATGATGGATTATCGAAAACTCACGTCCAGAATACGACTCCAAAGAAATTAGCAGTTTCCCGAGGATTCGCATGACTAGAATTTTTGTCCGCAGACATTCCCATCAATTGCTTATAACACAGTGCAGAATGAACATCAGTTCGATCACAATTATCAGCAAGTGATGCTTCTCGTTTACGACTATACCCTCTCCTTCACGGAAATGGAATCACTACTGCTTCGGTGATGATTTATTAATTAATCCTCCACTATCACGTAACCATCGCCCTGTAAAACATTGTATTAGCACGTGTAACTAATTATTGACGCGAGGAATAGAGATAACGAATGATTATGTATTCACAACTACACCTACCGAGAACAATTATTTTTGTTTGATAATTTTGGGAGACGGGGTTTGTGACCTCTCATTACTATTCAGTACTTATAGACACAGATGGAAAACATGAGATTTCATAGAAATCATTTCTTTATCACCGAAATTAATGACGCAAAATAGATCGTCCACTCTGGGAAGAATATGGCAATTTTTCTAATGAAGTGAGGTGGAGGTGTCACAACTACACCTAACAGGAACAATTATTATTTCATAATTTTGGGAGACGGGATTAGTGACCTCTTATTACTATTCAGTACTACTAGATTCAGATGGAAAACATGAGATTTCATAGAAATCATTTCTTTCTTATCACCGAAACTAATGACGTAAAATAGATTGTTGACTCTGGGAAGAATATTGCAATTTTTTTTTAATGAAGTGAGGTCGAGGGGTCATTCATTTTCGAAATCACGGTGTCACTCAGGACTGAAATCGTATGAAATCCATTGGAATCAGTGAAATCCTGGGATTTCATCTATTTCAGGAGATTTCAATTGAAATCACTTGCAATCGGTAAAGTCTCGTGAAATCATGAAATCAGCAACTCGTGAGACCCTTTCAAATACATCAAAGAGAAAGAAATGTTTTTGACTTATTTGTAGTCTGTCATTCTACGTAAGGTCAGTGACCCCACACTTGTCTAGCTAAGGTGAACACATTATTAGTCCAATATTTCTATCGAAATGAGTGTGAAAATTGTGACGTTCTAAATTAGGCGTCAGAGGGTAGATCCTTCAGGATTAGAATTCACCCATAACTTTTCAACTTTTAACGTTATTTATTGCAAGAAACACACATTCTTACAAATGGCCATTGCCCGAGGACCTTCAGCCTAGAAAAAACTTCTTTTGTACAATATCAAATTATCTCTATCAGGAGTTGTGTACATGTGGTTCAATGTTTATGATAGACGTGAGAAAAAGAGAGAAAGAAAAAAAAGAGAAATGAAAATGGTGATGAGTTACAACTTTTGAATATTCATCGTACAGGAATTGTTATGGGGTGCTGATGGTACATTTTTTCCAAGATGAGAGATGAATAGGATAAAAGTGAAGAGCGTACGAACTGTAAATTATTGAAGATAACCCGAATCGAAATTTTACCGGGTCTCCCAACGTAGTTTCAAGGTCCACTGGTGGGTTTAGGACGTTGAAAATATGTTGTCCAGTGTACAGGCTCAAATGCACCGATTCAACCTACTTTCGACGTAAATACCGTCTCTTTTTTCCATTTTTTCCAGATTGTACGTTGAAATTAGGTTGAAACTAAACGTATCCCCAACGTTCATCCACCGTACATTCTTTCCTTCCTTCCTTCCCCCTACCCTCTTCACACTACCAGTTCCATTCTAACATCGATTAATTGATTAAATCTTGCATAAATTAATCGGTGGAAGAATGGCAAAAATATAAATATTATTAACTCGGTGAAACAAAAATGGAGAAAAAAGAAAAAAAAACGGATCGATCCATTGGTTCTCGAGATATTCCTGCTTGTAGTTCTGCCGTGTTCCCTTTCGGTCACTCATCCTTTTTCTGGTTTTACTCGCTACTGCTCAAGCTCAGTGATCGCAAGATATCCCGGTATGCTTCTGAGCTGTACAGTTGCTTGTGGCGAGTTGTACTTTTTTCGGGTTTATATAAGCAACTAATAAGAATAAAAATAGGAAAAAACAGAAAGAAAGTATAGGCAATAGAGTAATACAGGAACTTAAGAGGAAAGGAGCAGGGAGAGGAGATGAGAGGGATTAGAGTTCATATAGGTCTAAGGCGTCTAGGTCGGACCCTTCATGTAAAAGTCACTGAGTGTAAAGATCCGATAAGTGTAAGAGTTAGTTGAGTCTGAACGATCACGCAAATCTAAGGGTCAGTTGAACCTAAAGGTCAAAAGAGTACGAAGGGTCAGGCGAATGTATCGCGATGATCTCCATAATTTTTTCTGCGCAGCTCAATGCAATATTCCTTTCTCCGCCCTCTATTATTTGACGATTCAATAAACAATCGATTACACCGAAAAAATCCAGGATTTTTTGAATGATCAACGATGAAGAGAGGAATCTTTCCTCGCGCGTCGCAGAGAAAACGCGGATGAATCTGCTGAAGCGCTCCGGGCGTATTAATCTCCGGTAAAAATCCCGCGATCTCAAACCGTTTCCTCCTTCGTGTGGAATAACCCTTCGTAAATGGTGAATGAAACCTAGTGGACAGCGGGACGCATCCGCGTATCCAATCTAATGGCAGAATTTTCCCGCCAATTCTATTTGCCACATCCTGAATATTTCCGCGGATACGTTTCTGCGTGGATCATTGTTGCCTCGACCATCATCCACGAGATTTCACATCAAGCCCATGGTTTTTATACTAATTGATAAGTCTATTCTCGATAGAATATATGCGTTCGTGTATACATACCACAGATATTGAGAAAACATTCCGTCAAATTCGGGCTACGATTGTATGACTCATCCGTGCTGGCTGGGTGGCACGGAGTCCCGGAGGAGACTGAACACTTCAAACGTCTCGATAATACACTCATAATTATAGTGATATACACACACACATCTCGAAGAATGAATTACGCACATATTGAGAGAAGCATCTGTCTTCGTGCACGTGCTGCGCTTCTCCAATCAGTCTAGGACCCACACATGGAGAGGGACATACTTTCTATGTTTTAGGGGAAAGTGAAATATGACGGACCGACTTTGATCATCAACACCTTCTAGTAAACGGTGTAATTTTGATGAATCATGTTTTATTTTGAAGCTTAAACAAATATTTTTTTTATTTAAACAAATGCCTTGGAGATTAAAAAAAAATCGGGGAATTTAACTCCGTTGTTCTTGAGTTATTGACGATTGGGAACGCCGTGTTTTACCCCACTCTCTTCATCTTGGGAAAACTCTGCAACGGGAGGAAAAATCGTCGATAGTAATAAAATTGTGAACCAGAAATGAAAGGCACGAGAAACTTTGAGTTTTCTGTTTACGATTTTTTTTATTAATTAAATCTTGTCGATGAGATGATATCGTTTCGAAATCGGAGCCTTGATTCCGTATTTTCCCTAGTGTGTGATGGTTCAGGGGCATAAGTTGACTCATGTCTTCATGAGTAGCATGATCCTGATACATCGCATATCAAACCTCCGATTTTTACCTCTGCTGTTAGACGCATTGTCATTGTCTAGCCATTTATTTATCAATACACTGATAGTCATTGCCTCCTACAAACTATTATTATGAAGTTTATACACATAAAGAAATTGAATAAGATTATAACAAAAGATAATGGTATTACAAACATTCTTGTTTGTTCAATTTTTTGAATGATATTGCCGATTTCAGCTGGCGTTAATCTTTGGTATAGTGACCAGGCTCCGGTAATATCGTTAGCTGTATAGAAAAGTAACGTAAGTGCCAAAATACGAACATTCAATAGAAAAAAGAGAAACAACAAACAAATATGGGAACTGGAATTAAAAATTCAAAACTTCTGGTATGAGGACATTTTTTGGCACTTACGTTAGTCTTCTATACAGCTAACGATATATTAATTGTGAAGTGATAATCCCAATATTTAGAGTTTGCGAAGAAAAACATCCGTGAAGTACACACACAGAGAAAATGACTTGGTGAAATTCACCAACTACACTGTTAAAAAATTTTCACTGAAGTTTCCAGGCTTTAGTCTTGAAATATGAAACAAGTGACGGTTTCATTGAAATCTCAGGGAAATTTACCATTGAAAATTCATGGTTTTCGTTGAAAATTCATGGAAATTTTAAATTTCAGTTAAATTATTCCATGAAAATTCATGGAAATTAGGAAAGATCAAGCAAAAATGTCCTTGAATTTTCAATTTTTTTGAAATTTCAGCGCAATTTCTTATTGAATTATCATGTTTACATTGAAAATTCATGGAAATTTCGGCATCTTCATGGTTCTTCCACTGAAAAATCAGAAATTTCCTTGAATTTTCAGAGAAACTTGAAATTTTATAGACTTTTTTCCGTTAAATTGACTTCAGTCCCATTTTCTGGAAAATTCAGTTAAATTTTTTTAACAGTGTAGTTGTTGAATTTCGACAACTAGTTGGTGAATTTCAAGAAAGTAGTTGGTGAAATTTAGCAATTAGTTGGTAAAATTTAGCAACTAGTTGGTAAAATTCAACAACTAGTTGTTCAAATTCACCAAATAATTTTCTCCGTGTAAATAGCATGTTTTTTCTCCTCGATGATTCAGAGGAATCGAAAATTCATCGTCGAACAATATTTCCAACAATTTGTATTATTTCTCTCGACCCGCATGTTTGACAAAGCCATAATTCCCTATTGACCCGATAAGCCTCAGAAACTTGTTGATTCACCGCAATTACTAGTGCTGATTGATACTGATGCGTGAATTCCTCGCGCCTCCATCGACGCTGTCCCTCTACTCACACGTCGGTTTTCCTTGAATTATCGTTATCGTTGACATTGGGAGCTTTTCAATTGATGAAGAGTGAATGCAAATAGTGTCTCCGTCATCTTTTACAGCTTGAGTAATATACAGACATTGGCTATCCTCAATTATGTCATTTTTCTTACGAATCATTTCAATTTGTCAAGGACAGGAAAACAATTTTGAGTCATTTTGTGTTTCTGCTTGCGCATGGAAGCTTTGTGATCGTTCAAATTTCAGTTTCTAATTTTCAACTTCTCGACCCGAAGGAAGGAAGTTATTGTAATAAGCTCGAAAATCGATTGTGAAAATTTCATGATTTCTTCACGTTTTATGACCCCTAGAAACCCTACATTTTTTAGAGGCCAGTCTGTCTGTGTGAATGTGTGTGTGTGTATTTGTGACCAAAATTTTGGCTATGATTTCTCTCGAACAAACGATACGATTCAATTTTTTTTCACGCAATTGCTGTTTTTTCATGTAACGTAGTACTGATTAGATTTTGAACATTGCCTCAGCGGTTCTTTAGATTTTCCAATAAAACTTGTGAAAAAACGTCGAAAAATGACATTTTCTAAGAAGAAATTGGATGATTCTTCTCAGAGAAACGATGAGATTGATTTCTTGTCATCATAATTGATGCAGCTTTGTATGATTGAGATTAAAGTGAAATTCCAGCAAAATCGTCTCAGTTCGGCTCCCAATCGTACTCTGTCAAAGCAGGCGGTCTGAGACCCTTCAGCCCCCAAAATGCTAAGTTAAGCGTTCTCACGGTTTTCGTCACTAACATTGTCTTGGCATTGTCATTGACAATGTCTCTACACAGTCAAATGTTTTCCATCGGAAACTGAACTTTCGTGTCGCTTCTCTTGCAGTTTTTAGCAAGAATCAGCGTTTTCCTGAGCTGAATAAAACTCATTAAAACAATATTTAAAGACATGTATAAAACCATACGCGTCACGCAACGATCACTCAAAAAGTAATTATCAAAACGGAGTCAATCATGGCTTGGAAAATTTATGAAAATGTTGAATGGTTGTACCTCACTGGGAAAGGCGTTGATTGAAGCCTTGTCCAACAATAGTTCTTTCCTGCAGAAAAAACGGTCGCACCCGAACAGTTACGGACGGGCTCTGTAGTGAATTTATCCATCTGTTCAACAGAGCTGATAGGATTCGAGGAGTCATTGATCGCATCAATGAGAATTACAAAATAATCTCCTGATGAACCAGAAATAACGCCTCCCAATCGAGTGAACAATCAAACATCATTAGAATTTCAAGAATTATTACTTTATTTTACAAAAGATACATTAATGGCTCTTTTTACAACTTACAAAAAACAGATACACTCATTGCGTGCTTATGTTATGTACAAATTGCAGTTAAAATTGATGTTAAAGGATACAATTCACAATTTGGAACGTAATTTCATAATCCGGGTGTGTCGCATGGTTTCGTTAATACCTAGAATGATGACACGATTGGGACGAAAATCCTATTGCATAAATTTGATTCACAATGCACGCATAATTTTGAATGAAATGACGAGTTGATTTTCGTCAACTCATTGATCATGGAGTATTCTTAAACGTAATACGATTTTTAGAATATACATAAGGTGTTATTCCTTCGCATGCAACCATCCAAGGAGGGCTGTATCGGGGGCTTTTCTTCATCGGTGGTTACATTGTTTAATGAGGTGGAACAAGGTGATAAAACTTGTTTTCTTCGAAGAATATTCCAGAATATTTTCGAAAATATTCTGAAATAGTGGAATTTAGTCTGCACCATTGGACAGTGAGAAACATTTTCAGTTCACACCACTGGTTAACAATCTATTCCAATCCGGTTGGACTCGAGATATTTCAAGTACAATTCTGTAGGAGTGACCGAGATAAAACGAAATATGAGAAGAAACGACTACTTTAGTTTAATTAATAAATCTTTTTTTCGAGAGTCAGATGGTCTCGAGGGTCAAACCACCCTTGAAAACGTCAAGGGTTGAGGACATAAAAGCTGTTTATAACACCATTTACGCCTTTTTGGCTTTACAACGACGATATGGCCCTTAAGGTCATTCGATCCCTAACCTTAAACGGTCTTGAGGGTTCTTTGAACCTCAAGACCATTTAACTCTCACCTGTAAACATCATTAAAGGTCCTCTAACCCATAAAATGATTTGAATCTTAACTAGAAACTAGAGGAAAGATCTACAAAATTGTGTTGAATAGTCGTTTTTCTTGATTTTTATGTGAGGGTCAAATGATCTGGAGGATCAAACGGTCCTTAAAGACGTTTAACAGACGAGAGTCGAATAGTCATAAGGGTCAAACAACCCTTGAAGATGAGGGTTAAGGGTCAAGTGACCCTTTCTGATAATTTTTTTCCCACTTCCCCTTAAGACCATTTGACCGTCAACTGCAAACGTTCTTAAGGGTCGTTTGACCCTCTAAACCATTTAATTCTCAACTAGAAACTAAAGAAAAGGTTTCCTGAACTATGTCAAATTGGCGTTCTCTCTAGTTTTAAGTCGAGGGTCAAATGATCTCAAGGGTCAAGCGACCCTTAAAGACGTTTAGAGATGAGGGTCGAATAGTCATAAGGGTCAAACGACTCTTGAAGACGAGGGTTAAGGGTCAAGTGACCCTTTCTGATTATTCTTTTTCAACCAGTTCGACCCTTAAGACCATTTGACCTTTAACTGTAAACGTTAAATGATGATCTTGAGGGTCAAATCACCCTCAACGACGTTCGGGGCTAAGGGTTAAATGATCATAAGGCTCAAATGACTCTTAATGACGTTCGGGGTTAAGGGTCAAATGATCGTAAGGGTCAAACGACCCTTAATGACATTCGGGGGTAAGGGTTAAATGATTGTAAGGGTCAAACGACCCTTAATGACGTTCGGGGTTAAGGACCAAATGATCGTAAGGGTCAAAAGATCTTTCATGACGTTCGGGGCGAAGGGTCAAAGGTCGCAAGGGTGAAACGACCCTTTCTAATAATTTTGTTTTCCAACCCATTTGGTCCTTGAAAACATTTGACCCTCACCGACAATCATAAAAAAAATACCTAAATTACTCTAAATTATCGTTTATTATCGGCAACTCGAAAACTATTCGTTTGAAATGTATTTTTGACCCGTGTTTTGAACCAGAAATTTCCCCAGTTCTCTGATGAGATGATTTTTCTTCAACTTTATTAATTTCATCTTGATTGTTAAATCTATCGTCAGCAATCCTTGGAATGTGAGTCGAACGGACATTGCATCGTTGTCCCATAGCCTCATATAGATTCTCTAACATTCTAAAATTACGAATTAAAGCATAGTAGTCAATATAATCCATCAGCCAATTCATAAGGTCAAATTCAACAATTTAATAACGATTATAATACACGGAATGATAATTTTACATTTGAATGGTCACCTATTTGACGTGTTTGAATGACAGGGAACTCGCATGATTTTTTAAAACTCATTTCTCAACTTTATGACCAGAAAGACACATTTTTTCTTATGAACGTTCGAACAAATGTTCATATATGAATTGTTCTCTTTAAAAACTCACGTTTCAAACGCTCTGGAGTCGTTAATGACGTCACAATACCGATACGAACGCTAAACCAATCACAGAATGCATTCGCGCTAAACTAACCTAATCTGTAAATACGACTCCTACTCGGCCAATGGAGAATTACTACTCCGTATTTGTGACGTCATGATCAAGTTAATCTCAAGAACGAATAACATTTAATCAATTTTTATAAATTATGTGAGCCATTCTTCATCATATTTTCGCTTTTCAACTCTGAAGAATGTATAAATAAGGGAATTAGGAAAAAATAATCTGCATGCAAGTTCCCTATCATTGCGATTTGTTTGAGTGGAGCATCAAGAAGAGGAGAGGCTGCTCTAAGAATTATTTGATCGATCGACATGAAAATACTGCATAGTCTTCGTACTCCTCTTCAATAAATTTTGATCGTAAAATTCTAGGCAATTCGTCATGGCAGTTTCGGAGAAGAGATAATCTCAAAATTTTAAAGGTTTTCGATTCTCAGTTTGTCCGCCTGATTCTGAAGAATTATTTATTTATGATTGTGATTGTGAGGTTGATACTAGGCTTCTGGGTTTTATCATCATTGTCGCCTTCTTCAGGGTGTAGTCCCATCCTCTCCAGCGAAACCAAACGATTCCTGTGGAAAATTGAGGAGAATTGTTGGATAATTGAAATCAGGTGGTTTTTAGCGACTTTATAACTAAATTTCGGTGGAAGAATTTTTTTTTCTTTCAACTGCTTATTTCTTTTGCTTCTGAATGGATGCTTTGTAATCAATCGAATTTCACGATTTTTTTCATAAATATAAACTTAAATATCTATGAATAATGTAGAATGAACAGAAATTTTGAACAATGTATAAATCCGACGACAGTGTAAATAATTTTATGATAAATTGAGCACTTTAAATAAAAAAAAAGACTTTGATAAGCTCTATTCATTGATATCAATTAAAATTCAATTTTTTATACAAATTCTAAATAATTGATATTTTTCAAAAAATCTATATTTCAACGATGACTCAAAAAATTGTCATTGATTCTATCAGAATATGATGGGCGTCGCACAATTCATTGTTGAGTTACAGCACATTATTTAATTGATTTGAAAGAGACAATCGGTTTATTCATGATTACTGAAAGAATGATCAATGATAGCAATTAAATCAGTGCTTGATAAAGTATATTTGAATATCTTCTAATGAACTTGAAAAATAGTGGGAACAGCATTATTGCTTATTAAGTTACAGAATGCCGTTATGAGCTTTTTACATCAAAATCTTTATGCCTATTAAACTCAGATACCAGTCTATTATATTGAATAATTATTCATATTGATTCATGGTCACAACTAACTTCTAATAGAATCTGCGTTAAACTCTGGGAAAATCGTGATTAAACCCAGATTAAATCCCGGCTATACACTGATTAAACCTTGATTCAGCCTTGATTAAATCCGGACTGAACACGAATTCGAGTCTTGTGAGGGTCTGAATCTAAAATTATTTGACTGACCGAAATAATGCGCAAAATTTTGATGACATTTCAACTGATGATAGCACTATGACATGAAACAATCGAAGAAAAGAATAGTGAAATAAGAATTTTAAAAAAGAGAACCCCTTCGGAAGCAAATTGCTAATTTATTAGCAACAATAACTATACACATTTATTTAAAAAAATGCAACTGTCCACTTGTTTCATGAACTTTCAAGTTCTCATGAATTTTCACCTTCTACTTTTCATCAACTTTAATTTTCATGAGCTTTTAATTTTTCTTAAAGTTAATAGTTTCATTGAACTTTGGGTTTACCTTGCCGAGCCGTTAGATCTTGAGGATCGTGGAGGTAGAGACCGTTGAGTCCTCTTCCACACGATTTCCACCACCAACCGCCCTTGAGCATCGATGCACAGTTCAATGATGATCGATCGTTATCTCTGTAAGAAGGAACAATTGAGGAAATTGATATTGAAAATCTCAATTTACTTTACAGAATAGTTCTCAAAGGTGGCATCATTTTCCCGTTTTTAATTAATTGTTAAGATTATTGTGGAAATTATTATTCACTATCAGCTTTATTTGTCTCATTGTGGAAGACAGCGAGTATCTTTACCCACTGAAAAATAGTTTTTGGTAAAAATGTTTGAATTTCAGGAATCGGTTGTAGTAAAATCTAGCGAGAAAAATATCATGGAGATCATTGAAATTTTGACTTTGTTAATGAAAATTTCGCCTAAGCATCACAGAAGAAATTTAAAAAACTCCGGCATTTTTACTTGAGGCTTTTCAATAGAAAATATTTTCTAAAGAAAATCAATAGAATTTAGTTTTCTATACGACTTATTTTACAGAGATATTTTCTATAGAAAACAAAGAGGGTAAATGAACTTGAAAATTAATGTCGAGGAATTCCTATAGAAACAGTCAGTTTCCATTGGATTTTCTATCTGGAAATTCCTCAACACGATAAGCGAAAAATTAATACAATTTTCAATAGGAATTCAATAGAAATCCAATAGAATTTTCTAGAGAATTCTCTAGGTATTCACCAGAATTTTTGTGTGCGCGATACGTCAAAAGGATCAGATGACGATATAGCAACTGACAATTAATGTTGGGACCAATGAAAATTACCGACGTTACAAATTCCGACTCCATAAAATTAGTAATGACACAACACGTGAGATAAATCGTTAGGATATAAACGAAACGTTTATGTGAACCTATTATTCGATGCATTCAACCCCTGGGAAATTGAGACTTCATTAACAATGGGCACAAGTCTGTACTGACAGCCACGAATTATTATGCTTTACCACAACAATGCCCCAGTAATAGCGGAAAAATGATCTTCTTCTTGCATATGGATATTGCCCCCATGTCTCACAGCTCTTTGTTCATTGCGTAATGTGCCTGCGGTACATCCTATAATTTCCCTATCCAATCCCGGAAGCCAAAACAGATGCTCATGGATTGAGTCTTTTGAGCTGGTGATTTCAGAAATAATTTTCACATGTCGCTTAGAATTTTTTATGGAGGAAGACGTTTCAAGGAATTGATTCAGCAAAATTTTTTGATGATTTCTGTGAAATGTCTACTAAGGATATCCGAGTACTTTGACTATTTTTTCTCCAACGAAATGCTTTTCTATTTTTATAGTCCAACATCAGAGCTTTCATTTGAGCCCCATTTGACCCTAAGTTTCTGGACATTTTACAATAACTAGATTAGTCCGCGCGCCTTGTCCTCCGCTATGGGGCTTAATGTATGTCAATTGTAGTGAATAATCTTACATTCAATTTCTGAAGTTAATATGAAAGTTTCAGGAATGTATTTAATTCTTTTTATATATAATACATCCAGTGTGACTTTTTTTGAAGCCAATCTATTCGGCGTATTGTGTCATTAGATTTTTTATAAACGATGATAGCATACATTTAAGAGATTACGATAATACTATATTATATTATATATACTATGTACACTATACAATATATAAAAGAGTACTATATGTAGTAAAATATGATGTGCATAATGATATATAAAAAATATTATATCTATAATATATAATACATTATACAATGTATTATAATATAGTATAGTATAGAATATAATATAATAAAGTATTATCGTAATATCTTTAATGTATACTATCATCATTTATGAAAAATCTAATGATACAGTACGTCGAATAGATTGGCTTCAAAAAACGTTACACTGAATTTTTTATTAAAGGATTTTATTATTATTCGTTTTTCTCTTTCGTATAACCTCACGGGTTTTTACAATTTTCCCCTTATCCCCCCCCCCAACCCTCTGTACTGCATTCGCCGAAGGACGAGGAAAAATCTCACTTGAGGGAAAAACCTGCCCAGGTACAGTCGTCTCTTTTTGAGAGTGTCAGGAAATTTGGCGACGCAGCCGGGAAGTGAACCCGGGTCCCCCTCGTATCAATCCCACATTCTAACCATACCGCCACGGCCGTCAGTCAATGATTTTATTATTTAAACTTTGCAGGTCTGAATTAGAATCTCGATATTGAACCGTTATAACATTTTGAAATCTGAAAAACGAAATTAGAAAGTTTACGGTTGCGGGGAAATTGATGAAATAGTTTAAAAATTGCAAATTTGAATTTTTCATAGAAATTTTTCATAAAAATCATTTGTTCGGAATTGCAACAAAGTTATTGATATTCAGAATTTTACCAGAAATCGAGTCCATGCCTAAAAAAATTAGGTTTCCGAAAGTTTAAACAATTTCAATTGTTTATTTATAATCAACGTATGTTTAAATAAATAATTCTGTACAAAATGTAATTTGAATGACGCTGAATTCAATTGACAAATTTGATGATTGAAAATGGTTGAATCGATAGTGTGGTCTTGTACCAAACTATAAAAGCTACTCGGATACCTTTAGTTTTTTTAGGTACCCCATGATATATCAAAAGTCGCTCGATAGTTATTTTCATCAACCAAAGAGTTTAAAATTTCATCAGGGTCTCCCCTTAAATTTTCACATATTTGCCATATAAACCATGATTTTTCCTTCAGATTTATGAAATTCTCACCTATTGTAAGTGGAGAAGGGACTGTTGTTGGAGCCATACCAGGGGTCATTCAGTGAGTCACCAGCATTGCCCTCGTATCCATCAATCTCCAGTTTGTAGTACTCCCCTTCGGAGTATATTTTAAAGTGAGAGTACTGAGCGTACCTGAAACAGCGAAATCATGAAGTTGTCATTTGAAGGCTAGTGAGCGATTGATTCTATTCAAGTATTGCTTGAAATAATTTTTTTTCGAGAAGAAAAAAAATATATTTTCATATAACACGAAAAATTCGAAACTTAAATGTGCAAGCAAGCTAATTATTCATGTTTGAGACTTTCAAATTGACATCAAACAATTTTCTTCTTGGTAATTTTCAACTTGTAATTTTTTGGGTCCAATACGACTTGTTCAAGAACTTGTTCGTTTTTTCGCCCAGTGCGGTATGGCAACACAGGTTCAAAACCAGTTTCTCATTTTGGTAAAAATCAATGCGTGGGAATATTTTATTCACTCATTGTATTATTTTTATCTCACAAATTGTATCACACACGATGATTCCACCCCGAGTGGGGAAAGTATAATCACAGGTGACTTTCGAGCCTCGTATACCTGACTCGAGGCGATGAATCCATCGTCACACATATACATGCATTAAACAACCCAAAAATAAAGATAAAAAGAATTGGTTTCACGTGTAACACAGCCTGGCGTTTCGCATGCTACGATCTCATTTATCAAAAACCTGATCTCTGCCTGTGTTATTTATGTAATAAAGGCTCTTTCGTTCACAACTTCACCACCTTCCTGGATTCAATGGTTTTTCAATCTTTCATTATGGACAATTGCCGATTATTTTGATTTAACCCTAGATTGGTCACCATTTGAGGAAAACGCAGCAACAGGTCATTTTTCTTCAACTGTCATGGACTGGCTAACCGGAAAAATTGAAGAAAAAAATGTGAATTTTTCAATTGAAGTGTCTGAAAAATTATAGTAGTTTTTAGAACAACATAATTCCGGAAATTCATAAAGAAACCACATTATTTCGAACAGATGAATTATTTTTTCCCATGTTAAATGAAATCGTCCGTTACGCGACGTTGCCGAAAACTCGCTAAACGCGCCCGGGCGGTGTAGAGTGCATTCGGCAACGCTGGAGCCTAGATAACACGGTGTCAAACGCCCGCGGAGGTGACCAAGTCACCAGATCCTGGCAGGCAGGGTCGCGTATGGTGTCCAGACTAGGGTTAATCGTTCCAATCGAACCATCAAGTTTTATTTTTTTTCTACAGTTTCGTAAATCCTATAGAAAAATCCTATAGAAGATCTATTACGTTCAGTTAATAGGGAACATCGTAGTTCATCATATTTAATGGGAAATCTTATAGGGTTATCTATAAAAAATCTTGAAAATACTATAGAAAATTTTATAGAATATCCTATATAATTGAAAGTGGTATGGAAAATCTTATAGAGAATCCTATTGAAAAGTCATCAGGTTCAGTTCACAAAAAAAATCTATAGAAAATCTTATAGAAAAACTAAAAGAATAATCCAATAGAAAATTCTACATAAAATCTCGCAGGGAAAATCCCACAGAAAAGCTCATGAGAAATCCCCTAATTGTAAGAAATTTGGGATAATTCAATGCGTTAATTACCTCTTATTTCCTTCGAAATCTTCCAGTTCAACTCTCAACGAATAATCCTCGTTATTAGTTAACATGTAAATATTTTCATTTCCAAGCCAGAATTCTCTGGCAGGGTCACCAAATCCATTTTTATAGTCTGCCCAGTCTCGATTGAAGTTTTCTCTCGGTTCTCCAAAATCATCACGTCTTTGAATTACCTGAAAATCAAATTGCTTTTAGTAGAAATTTTATCTTGAAAAAGATCGGACTAGGTCATTTAATAATGAGGGCAATCCGCAATAATATTGTAATGTCTCGTATTCCATACAAGGTCATTAATTAATTATTCGAATGACAAATGTCCGTCATTATTGAATAAAATCTTATAAAACAAGATGTCTGTTTCTCCGGAAATTCATGGAAGGTTCATACAGGTATTTTTACGCAGCTGGTATGTGAACCCAAAAAAGCCAAAATAATAAAATTAATTTGACTGAGTCACAAAAAAACGATCAAGAAAGGGCCAAAATGGTAGAGTTTCTTCTGGAAAGTTCACCAATCGTCTGGAAAACTCTCAGAGTTAGCCAGTGAGACTGGCACAGTGAGTAAGTTCGTAGGCTCACATGTTCGAGGTCCCGGGTTCAAAACTCGGGAGGATAGAATGGTGAGATCTCACTATTTATGGTATTGTTCTACTTATTTAAGGAATAACTCGAAATTAATCGAAGGGGCGTATCTATTGACAGTTCTTCAGAATCAATCTTGGAACAAAGATGATTCAAATATGGAGTTATTCCCAAACATTAGAGAATGGCAATCAACTTTCTTGTATTTTACAAAAGAGGGGAAGAGGATAGATTGAATCATTCGATTCCGTAATACTACTTCCCTTCCGAAAAATTGCCGCCCCAGTAACTCCGACTACACGGAGAGAAATATTCAATAAAAATTACGTATCTTTTCCGTAATTCCGGAGCGAAATGTGGTTGTAGGAAATATTACGGAACTATCACGGAATTTTTCCGGAGCGTTTCGTAATTTTTACCTGAATCTTCATGTGAAAAATTACGATACCGTTGCTTAAATTTTTCGGTTGTGAGTCGATTCCGTAATCGATGAGCGAACTGTGAATTTCGTAATTTTGACTGAACATTTCATTTTGATAAACAAAAGAGTATTGAATATTTAATTTTCTTTAATCACGATGTGTATGTGGATGCAGCATTACTAATAGACAAAAAACATTCACTTCCAATGTTCTTTATGAAGAAATAAAGGGTCTTCAACGGGTGTGCTATCCAATATAGTCATTCTCAATGAAAATCTTTTGGAAAGAAGCGATTAAAAAAAAAGGTTGAATATCAATGAACCCGTTGTCCGTCCACCTGAACCATTCCGTCGTCCTACTCCACCCAAGTAATTCTTTTTTCTTTTCCCATTTTTTTACACATTATTACGCGAATAACCTTCGGACAAGTTATATCCCACTGCGTTCCACAAAATGCAAAAATCCCTTTCACCGATATACTTTACAGCAACGGTATATCAAAGTAGAACGATGTCGTTTTTCATTTAATGGGAATAAATGCATACCTATTTCTTGCACGATAATTTTTACCCCCCTCCCCCCCCATCGCTCCTCTGCTAACCCTTCCACTTGTTCTCAATGTTATAAGAATCAAAACCTTTGAGAATATTAAGGGTACACTGAGATAAAAACAAGCACGTTGTCAAACAAGTCTTGTTTGGGCCAACAAAATCAATAGTTGAAAATTGCCAAAAAAGAATTTGTTTGGTTCGAATTTGAAAGTCTCAAACATGAATAATTGCTCTGCTTTCAACAGTAATGAAATAGTTGGCTCAAGAGGTGGATAATTCACACCAGACGGTGCCTCTTTAGGATGGAAATATCTCATATAGAGGGAAATTCATCAACAAATATTTTATCCCTAAGTTACAAGATTGCTATCATATCATTATTATTGTTTCATTTAAGGGTTAATTTTTTGTCTGTGATTATTAGACAGTCGAAACGAAAAACTACTAGCCCTTGTTCCGCATAAAACAAAGATTTTTCGGGAGCAAAGTACGTATGGGAGGATCGGATAACGAAGAAGTAGTGCTAGAAATGACACTTCTTGCGTTACAGAAAATGCAATTTTTTTTAAACTACTAAATCTATTTTTGCGGCAAAAATTTTTCATTCTGGCGCACTCTCTCCATGTTTTGCACAAAAAAAACCCTTTTTTGATCATTTTCAAAAAAATATTTTTTTGGCACAAGCAAGACTTGTTTGAGGACTCGGTCGTTTTTCTCTCAGTGTAGACTACTATGAGTTTTAAAAATCGTGGGCTAGTGGAGTGAGATTTCACGTCTGAAAAAATTCAATAGAAAACCTAGCGAATTCGGTAATTCGAAAATTCTATTGGAATTCTATAGGATTCTATGGGGTTTCTACAGGATTTCTATTAGAATTCTATTGAAAAAATCTATTTGTTTTTTTTACGCTGATTCTATTGGGTATTCGATAAGAAAAAGTCAATAGATTTCGAATTTCTGTTCGAATTTTTCTCTCGAGATTTTTTCTATAAGAATGCTTGGACATCAATTTTCCACGTGTTTTCCACTCGGATTTTGTGATGCAAAACGAAATAAAATCCAGCGGAAAAAACTTAGAAAATTTGTGCCCAATAATTGTAATAGAAAAAATTTCAAGAGGAAAATTCGAACAGAAATCCAAAATATATTGAATTTTTCCTATCAAATATGCAATAGAATCAGCACAAAAAACATGTAAAATTTTCTACCGAATTCGGTAAGTTTTCTATTGAATTTTTTCATGTGTGTTGTCATGCATTGAAGATCGATTATATACATTAAAAAACGAATAATTAGTGCAAAAAAATTGATTGTTTATTGTTCGTTTGCCCCGCAGATGCTTGAGTAGTTTATTAACAGAGGATTTACTTAGAGTGAATGAATCATTCATTTCAACAAAGGAATCTAATGATAAAAGAAGAGGAAATTTTCGAAAACAAATAGTTTCTTCGCCGAATACAACTCGATTCCTCCAATTAAAAAAAATTGTTTCGTAAAGAGTGACTTTGACGGTTAGAAGTCTACAATATTCTGGCAATTAACACCTCATTAATTTTGTCAACATCTAGTTATGGATTATCAGTTATTTCCACTCAAATTATTGACGCCAATCGTAAATTATCTTTTCTTATCAGTTTTTCGAAATGCAGAAATGAGAAAAAAAATAGATAAGCCATTAAATTGATTGGCAGACCTTCATTTTCATCATTGGAAATAGAAAAACACTCGATATTTCCATAAATAGAATGATGAATGATGATTATCTCATTTTTTTCTCATTTTTACAATTAGAAAAATAAGTTTCAACATTGAAATGAAAATGAATGATACTTATCAACTACAAGTGAAGGATTTTTTAAACATTGATGGTAAACAGAACAGAATAAGATTACAAAATTTCCATCATCAAATCTGTCAACTAAATTGCAAGGGTGATAGCAAAATCACCCTTGGATTCCAAGATATTTATAAAAAAATCGACCACCAGTCAAAATAGACTTGAACCCGTTTACCGCTTCGCTACTGAATTAGAAATTCAATTTTCTAACGCAACAAAAAAAATGACACAATTACACCCTCACACTGCCCAGCCGTTGAGTAATCTCCCCTGGTAACGCTACACACTTGACAATTACGTGAATAATACCAGTGGAACTAATAACGATCGCACTTTCAAGGTTTTAGAATCCTTACAGAAAAATAATCTGTTCTCAATTGATTTTACCACTTCCTCGAGAATTTATTAACGTGAATATTCATGGAGCCCTGGACTTGATGATCAATAAAGCGTGTAGTTATTTCAAAATGGAATGCGATTGATATCAGATGGCGAGGAAAAGTTCTGATGTAGAACAATCGACAGAATTGGTCGAAGAATGTGTTTTTGAATTGATTGAAACATTTTTCTTTCACTTATTGAATNCCCCCCCCCCCACCTACCCATAGGGGGGGGGGGATTATTATGAACAAATGGATATGTGAAATTTCAGCACTGGAAAATAATTGGGGGCACCATAATTTTTTTGGTACTCAACACATGAATTTTTCTCGAAAATTTTCCTCTGTGTTGAAAATTCAAGAACATGAGGTATTCCATGTCAAATGAGTCAACCGCTGACCCTCACCCTTTTGGAAATTGATTTCGATTTTTTCTACGATTCGGGGGTTGAAAAAACGATCTCTCAATTTTTTTCAGATTTTTTTGGCAACCCACTTCGGAGATATGATTTTTTCTGTTTTTTTCGTTTTTGTTCAGTAACTCGGGTTTTATTCATCTGATTTTGATTCATGACACGTCAAAATTTTCGATTTTCTACCGTCTATGAGAATATTTTGAGGAATTTTTTTTTCAATCGCTAAATGCTCATAATACCGAATAAAAAAAAGTTGGAAAACTTGAATTTCAAAAATTATGTTACGTTTTATTCTTCTCATATTTTTTCAGTAATTATTGTGATCAAAACAAGTATTTTGAGCCATCGCACATGTTGGGTTGCGTCATACATCTGTTTTATTTTCTATTTTTTTCTCGAAATTTCACTAATTTGGTCAAAATCCCCCAAAATGACGTTGATTGACTTTGACTATAAATAGTTTGAAATGAATTTAATTGTATACTTATATGTTACATATTTTTTCGATACATAATCGAAGTGGTTTGTCGTGTTTCGACCAGATCCAGGACGATACCCAATTTGTATGACGGCTCAAAACACTTGTTTTGATTATAAGAGTTATTGAAAAAAAAGATGAGAAAAATAAAAGGTAACAATTTTGAAAATTCAAGATTTTCAAAATTTTCTTTTGAAAATTAGGTATTGTGAGCACCTGGGAATTGAAAAAAAAATTAACCAAAATTCTCTCATAGATGGTAGAAAATCGAAAATTTTGACGTGTCATAAATCAAAATCCGATGAATAGAACTGGAGTTATTGAAAAAAGAACGAAAAAACAAAGAAAAAATCATATCTTCAAAATGGGCGGTCGAAAAAATTTGAAAAAATTGGACAGATAGTTTTTCTAGCCCCCCAATTGTAGAAAAACATCGAAATCAATTTCCAAGAGGGTGAGGGTCAGCCGTTGACTCATTTGGCATGGAATCTCATATTTACCAAAAATTTTCCTGATTTCTGTTAAATTTCAGGCAATAATTGAATGTAAATTTAGAGTTCTCGTTGATTCACATTCCTCGCGGATTATTTGATTTTGATGAATGTATGTTAATCTTCCCAACTCCTTCTTCACTCGAAAAAAAATCTAGAATTGTGACATTCTATCTGTCTGCATTGTTGCCACTTTCTTTCCATTCAATTTTTTCTCCATTCCTTTCTCCGAGGACTTCCTGGGTTCAGTTAAATGCCCACACGAATTAACTCGGAATGAAAGTGACACAAAACACTCGACACTAATTTCCTGATATCTGAGCAACAATAATTTTAGCCATATACATTTATCGTTTGATGAAAAAATAATTCACGGAAGATTGAATGAAAATTGTCGGTGATTCTGTTGTTGCAAGACATGTTGTGACATCAATCCGAAGGTGTAATTGGTGGTTGTGACGATTATGATTGGGAGAAACTTGGAAGTGATGGGTAAAAGTTACCGGTTCAGGAGTTTATGTTAGATTAGGTGATGAGGCGTGGGAGGGGCGATCGTCAGTAGCTGCCAAATTTTGATGATTGTTTAAAGTATAATAGCATAAACATAACTTGGATTTTGAAGATTAAAATCTAAACTAAGTTCTAAACGAAAGTTGATATGAATAGAAACACTTTGGTTGCGTTTGTACTCAATCGAGAGTCGAGTATTATTATTGGTAATAATTAATTTAGTAGTGCAAAAACAACATGAAGACTTACGAGAAAATTAACTATTCGAAGTTAGGGAGAAGATAAAAACCTAGAAAAAATCGCGAAAAATCAGAAAAAAATGGAAATTCTGTGCTCAATATGAAACTTATCACCAGTGTCAAACTTTGTTGAGGAATTCCTACAGAAAAAGGTGTTCAGAAAGGTGAAATTCTATTGATTTGTTTCTATAACATAGTTTCTATTAAAAATTTTCTATAAAAAAAATACGCAATAAATCTGCGCAAATCTTCAATACAACCGGTTAAAAAGTAATAGAAAGTTGAATAGAAGTTCAATAGAGATCCAATAGAATTAGAATTGATGAAATGGATAGATCGTTTCGTTGACACATTCTGCTATTAAAGTAGTATAAACATGACTTGAATTATGAAGATTGCAATCTAAAATAAATTCTAAACGAAAGTTGAATATGAATAGAAACATTCTGGTTGCGTTTGTGCTCAATCCGCAGTTCAGTATTATTGATAATAATTAATCTAGAAGTGCAAAAAAATTAAAATCGAGAAAAAAACCGTGAAAACCCAGAAAAAATAAATGAAAAATCAAACATTGGTAATAAATAATTAAAGTTTACAGATAATCGTTTAAAAAAATAATTGAAGAGGGAATTTGATGGATGAATTTACGACACTCATTAAAGCTAGAATTCATGGAAAAAATTATCAATAGTGAATCTTTTTTTTTTGGTTTTTGGAAACTTTTTGGGAAAAAAAGAGTTATGTTGAAAAAAAAAATTGTATTTAATTACCGTCCATCCTCCCTCAGCGATTTCCTGCTCGCAGAAGACCTTCAGGAACCAGTAGGTTGTTCCCCGTATTTGAAGATAGTACACACCACTCTCTCTCATCCCTGCATTGAGCAAATCTACACATGAGTATCCCTGAAAAAAAAGAGAACGGATAGAAGCAATAGAACAATTTTATCTCTGAAAGCACAACGTTTTGTGAAACTGTTTGTCCGCTAATCCCCAATTCTGATAATTTAAGGGTGCCAAGTGAATTTGAAAAAAGATTCAAAAAAATTTTTTTCTTTCCCTCCATCATTGGAGAAATATGTATTCATCCATCCGACGAAATTTCAAACGCGCAACCGGAACTAGACGTCGAGAAAATAAATACGGAAAATCCTCCATTTCCCGTGACGAACCTCGAGAAAGCATGGGATCAAATGGGTACGGCGGGTTGAAATATCTCTCTTATTCACCCCGGTACCCCATTGTTTTTTGTCGCCATCACATTGAACACATAATTCCCCATATCTTCAAATTTTTTCAAATTTTTCTTGAGTTCCTAAGGGGTTGAAACGTTCAATTTAATCAAAACTCCATAATAAGAGGCCGTGTATAAGACTGATTTTGTTTATTTAATTTCTCGATATCCATAAATTCTAAAATTTTAAAATTGTCACCGATGTTCACCATCTGTCTAATACTATTAAGTAAAAAAATTATAACTTTGTTGATGAATGTCAATTTTCAAGGTCATCGCCAAATTCACTTGGCACCCTTAAGGTATATCCCAAGACGATACCACGCAAGAGTTAATCCCTATGGATTTTCGGAAAAATTCTCATTGTAAACAACCTTGTTGAAACCACGTATCCTGCATTCTTATTGATATAAAAATTGATGAAAGTCAGAAACGGTAAGGTTTTACTATTCTGGCACCCATGGAAAGCAACACGCGCGCGATGCGCGCGCTCTGTTCTAGTACTATTAAATTTTACAAAAAATTCACAGTATTCGGAATTTATCAATCTATCACAGATTTTTTTTAAGAACATCGTATTAAAAAATCGTATTCTCATAAGATGGAAAAATCGAATTCGGGGGGACCCATACCCCCCTTTGGCCTATGCCTTGCGAACTAGAAGCCCGCATTTCATTATTCATTACCTCTTAAACTGTGTAGTACGGTTAGTTAGCATTTTTCTCAATAGCTGAGGAATATTATAAACATTATCTACGAAAAACATGGGGCCAATTGTAAGAAAAACCTGTTTTCTAAGGACATACCTTAATAAGAGGAGAAGGAAAGAGCGGCATGAAGCGCAAAGGAGGAAATAAATTTCATCGACAGTGTGTGAAGGGGAAGTCTTGGATACGTGATATCGAAGTCGATCGACACGCGCGGCAATTTTGCGGTCAGATACAAAGTGACGCCCATGGGTATATGTTTATTAAGACTACGTACGGTACCATCGCTCCCTCCGGGTGATTCTCACACGACACCCATAAACCAGAACAACAGAAAAAAAAGTCCTCTTTTTCGATTCTTCGTTTTTCAAGAGCATTAATCCTACGGGCTAATTGACCCCGGGCCAAATTTCTATTTTCACATAATGTTTTTTTATTCCGCGTCCCCTTGGCATTTCATCATTTGATACATGGGAATCTATACGCATGTTTCCGGATTCTTTTTTTTCTCTTATTCGATTATTCATACCAAATGATGTCCAAATTCGAAGTAAAACTTTGCGAAATTTTTTTTTTATCAAATAAAATGATTGAAAAATTATTGTTTTTATTCTCTTTTTTTATTAAGTCAACGAATGATAGAATTGGTGATTTTTTCAGGCATTAAGCTTTTCGAAGTCTGAACAACTGATTTCAGGTATTTTTTCATTAAAAAAAACTATAGGAAATATTACTTTTCAAAGGCTCTTTACCTCTAGAATTCAATAATTTTTTAATTTAAATGAGAATGTGCTTTTTCAATAGGATTTTCTAATTTTCTATTTGAGACATTCTTGAAGTATTTGGAATTTTTTAGGGAGAATGAAGATGTTTGCTAAATTTTTTTGTTCATTTTTCGCACGATTATTTATAGTAAATTATGACTGAATGTGAAGTAAAACATTGCGAATTGATGGAATTTCTCATGTATTGAGCTTTTTGAAGTCTAAACAATTCCTTTCAATTATCTCTTCATTAAAAAAAACTACAGAAAATGTTCCTATTGAAAAGTTCTACATCTCTGAAATCCGATAATTTTTTAATTCTGTTGCGAATGTCATTCTTCATCACGCTGTGTGTAAAGTGACATTTTACGCGCGCTCCGTGTGCGCGAAACCCCACTTCCCACACATTGTGGTGAAAAATAGGGTTCGATACTCGCGGGAAAAGGGTTTTTAGACTCGTGGGATTGTATCACTCGCCTTCGGCTCGTGCTATAAACCTCCCAGGAGCCCAAAACACTTTCCCGCAATCGTATCGAAATATACTATTTCAACTGGATTTTCTAATTTTCTATTTAAGCCTTTCTTAAAATATTTTGAAGTTTTTAGGGAAAATAGGGATGTCTCCTCCATTTTTTTCTTTTTTTGCAGGATTTTTAAAATTAATTTATGTTTAAATCTGAAGTAAAATGTTGCAAATGGATAGAATTTCTCACGCATTGAGCTTTTTGAAGTCTAAAAAATTCTTTTTCGTTTCACGGGACCTGAAAACTAATATACACACCTCGCCATGGAGAACATATCACCCTCCCCCACGTGCTTGCCATACTCGCCTTCGGCTCGGAAGGCAATCTTGCATGTGGGGGACGGTGATCTGTTTTCCAAGGCTCGGGCATGTAATGTCCTATTCAACAATTTCTCCATGAGAAAAAAATTATAGGAAATATCCCTCATATTGAAGGAAACGACGAGCATAAAAAATCAAAATTATTGTTCGGCCATTCAGACTCCTTTCTCCCTGTAGACCTTTATCGTACAATCATCTTTATTTTTCTCATTGAGAAAAAGTTGTTGGGGATATCTTATCGCATGTGCCTCCGCTGTTGTTAGCAAAGGCAAAATCCCATGAGTGACAGCTGCCGGTAAAACTTTGATCCCCACTGGCACCATGTCCTGACTTTCTCCATTAGTACAAAAAGAATCGATGTGCATGAGGACTGACAATACATCATGCCCACAGGAGGAAAAGCCAATACAATTTAACGGAAGTTCTAGTCCCGTGACATTTGACTATTTTCGACGATAATTCACAACCAAGTGGACACTATTTTTCGAACCCCGGAGGTGATAAATACTTTCGACTTTTGATTTCACTTCTGAAGATGTAGAATGAAAAATTATGCATCCGACCAGAAAAACTGGGCTTTGGTGAGATTAATATCTCAATCATTTTCCCATCTCTCGTCTTTCAAATGATTAATTCATTCGAATTCCCCCAAGATTTTTTGAATTGATGGCTTTTTTAATGAGTCGTTAATCAAAATCGAAGATGCGTTCCCTTTTTTCTCACATCGAGGACTGAAAATTGTTCTGTTTATAACAGAAGGCCAATTCTATTGGCCTTCTATTGAACGTTCTATTAGTTTTTGACTGATTTTATTGAAATGTTCAATAGGAAATCTTCTGTAGAGAAAGTCAACACACTGACAGAAAAATTTATTCTGGCGGAAAAATATGTGTTCCCCTGAAGAGATATTTTTATTTCATGCACATCCCTGAAGATTGGGTCTGCATTAAATAATAAAAATAACAAGTGGGCTATTGCACAGGTCTAAATCAAGTATAGGCTTTTGCTAAAAATGAGCAATTTGCTTCCGAATTGATTAATCGAATTAAAACAAAAAAGTGAATATTCGGTTCTCTGTCATTAATGTCACCTTAGTAGGCATCCTTCCTGAAGTTTAACCTCTGAAAAATTCAATAGTTTTTTTTAAAGACAATTTGAGATAAAAATTTTAGTGAACTGAAATTATTTTAAATTAGACAGATTGAGTGAAAACAAAATGACTGTAAAATTTGATATCACAAGAGTTCATGCTCCTGATACATCATGTTGATGTCTCCTCGGTCGTAAGTAAATTATTTAAATTTTATTCTTCTCCTGAATAGTTTTCCTTAAACTGGACTTAAGACCGGTATAACGTTCTCGCTAATGAATTAGAAATTTGGTTCTGAATGGTAAATTGGGGAAGAACATATACCAGCCATGAAACTTTAATATGATCCCTAAATGTCCCAAATGTCTAACATGAGCTCCATATGCCCTGGTTAAACATCTAACAGACGCCGAATAAGTTAAAATTGAACTGGTTTGAACTTTCACTGAACATTGATTAAACTTGGCGAAACCTTGGTTAAGCCCTGATTAATCTCCGATTAAATCCCGACTAAACCACGAATAAACCCTGAGTAAAACCCCGACTAAATCCTGACTAAACTCCCACTAAACCGCGACTAATCCCTGACTAAACTCCGACTAAACCCTGGCTAAACTCTGGTTAAATCCCGACTAAACCATGATTAAACCTCGATTAAATGCGTTTTAAGACAACACAATTTCAAAGCAAATGATGCTGACTAAACTGACTAAACTCCCACTAAACCGCGACTAACCCTTGACTAAACTCCGACCAAACCCTGGCTAAACTCCGGTTAAATCCCGACTAAACCGTAATTAAACCGCGATTAAATTCTTTCTAACGCTATTCCAAGCAAATGATGCGATCGCTACTATCTTCAAACTCGAACGAGGTAACATCCAAAGGAATGTTTTAAGCCATAAATAATTCAAAAGATTTCGACGATTATTTTTCGAATGATTATTGAAAAACTAAATTTGAAAAAAAACTCACATACACACGAACATGATCTAAAAACAGCATATTCGAACTCCTGAGACCAAAGTTAGTAATCGTCACACAAAAAAAACGGAAATTTCAGATTTGACGAATACAATGCTTCCCTTCGGAATCAAAATTAAGAAAAAATGAACTGAAATTTCAATAGAATCGGCCAAAAACTAAAAGAAAGTTTAACAGAAATCGAATAGAATTGTCTAGCGAATTCGCTATTTTTTTTAAATAAAATTTTTCCGTGCGTGTAGACATGAGAATTTACAATGGAGTTGATGTTTCCATCGTAATAAGATTGATCCAAAAGTGAAATAAAATATTTTATTGAAGCCCTCGATATGAAATGAAAGTTGGCATTTTGAATCACACATCGACATTGATAAATTACCATGGAATTATATTTCTTCAAATTTAATTGGCAAAAGTACATCTCGTCGGGTAAAACTGATGATATAGAAGGAAAATTATAAACCATCATCCCAAATATACCGGGAACACGTGGTGGGGGGGATTGCATATCGTTTCAGATACTGTTTGTGAGTTCTGTAACGAGTGAAAATTCAACATGAAAGGCCGTGGCACCGACCGCTTGTACAAGCGGCTTCTATAATGTTTCGATGTCTGTCTCATTCTTCCAGTGGTCTTTATCTCCTACCTTATTTCCCCCTTCTCTTATTGCCTTATATACAATCTGAAATGCACGCACAACTGTCGGGCATGAACGTGGATATGTACTCGAGTACATATTAATTCACTTGGGCAATTACTGAAGTCATAACTCATATTCATGAGGATGATGTACATGGGGTTTTAGGTAAGAGTATTTATAACGTTTTTTATGATGATTCAGGTGAATGTCAAGAGATCAGGGATATTTTCGTTTTTTTGTCCTTTTATTCGATTCGATTAGTGCCCACAATTTTTTTTAAAAGAAATTATTGCGAATTTATTGAAACGAATAGTTCGGACTTCAATAAGCTCAACACGTGAGAAATTCCACAATTTTATCATTTCGTTTATTGAATAAAAATTATCAAAAGATTTTACACTTTGTAGTTTATTCACGAAAATTGTTACATTTACTACAATTTTTTAAAGAAATTATTGAAACGAATTGTTTGGCCTTCAAGAAACTCAATTCGTCAGAAATTCTACAATTATATAATTTCCTTAATTTTATAAAAATTATTAAAAGTGTTTACACTTCGTAGTTTACTCATCAGAATTGGTATATTTACTACTGGTGAAATTATAATCACTTTAATTCATGAAATTACTTTCCCCATTGGTCAATACCGAGAGGGAATTCCCTTTTTTGTCAACCCAACGCCAACTTCAGATCAAACGGCCATTTTCACTCCCCCCAAATCAAGATGGCCGCGTTCAGCACATCCTTCAGCCCACATAATAAATTCTCAAGTAACCCTAGAATCTTGACTTACCCTGATGTCCTTGTAATTAACAAGCACCGAGTCAGTAGTGAATGTGGAATTCGCGGGGCTGGGTTTGTTCTTCACACTGGGAAATATGACACCCCGATTGCGTGTTGCTGACCGCTGGGATGAAATACCGGGGCTTTGTGTTGAGGTCGATGAGGTAGATGACGTAGTCATGGGACTGGTGGCAGGTGGATTAGCGGACGACGACGCCTGAAGTGACGAGGTTGTTGGTAATGGTGTTGTTGTGGTGGATGGGGGTGGGGTCTCTGTTGTGTATTCTTCGTTCAGAGCAATGTAACTAGGAAACAGAAAAAAATTCTATTCGAAAAATTCATTCAATGTCTGAAATGCAATCATAACTTTTCTTTGATATTTCTTCTTAGTGATGAGTTCTGTTAGAAGAAAGGTCTGAAAGCATTTTTTGTCGGAAATTTTTTTTTTCTAAGGAAAAGATTTAAATGTTTTTTCTATAATCACTCATTTCCGGACTGTCTCTATAATCCACGTAATCATCACTTTTCGATTGTATAATTTAGTACTTATAAGTTTATTTTTTTGCTTTGCTCTCGATATGATTAATTGAATTTTGAGTGCATCACAAAAATACAATCCGCGATGGACCGATTTCTGGGTTGATTTCCTGCTACATGAAGAAAGAAAGATAATTAATGAATTTACTCACCGACTTGGATCATACTCAACGAGCCGATCAATCGTAGGATCCAACAACAATTCAGCTGGTATCGGCCGCTGGGCGAGATTGGCCACGTCATCTTCCTGCTTCTTGAGTCTACTTTCCACTCCCTCGAGATTCTCAATTATCTTGTTAGTCTTGGATCTGAGATCCGCGCCTATCTCATTAATCGCTCTCTCCTGGCGTTGTGTCTGCGTCAGCAATGCATCCGACTTCGGCAGGAGATGATCAACTGAGCTCTTGGTACCCACCTGCAGATCCAACATAATCGAATTTATAAAATAACATTCTTCCGGCTTGTTGAGACTGACAATATTTTCATAGTCATTAGTTACGGGAAGATTTATCGTGTTTCTTTATTTGATTTCAAAGCAAAAGTTGTTTCAGGCAAAAAATTATTAATTGAAGATCGTTTTTTGGTTTAGCGGATACTGTTGGGTTTGTAAAATCGTATTTTATACCACTAGGCCAGACAAACCGTGATTGTAACTTCACTAGTCTGACGGCGCGCGCCCGCGTCCCTCTATGACGTGAGAATAGACGAATGAGAGGTGATAGACTCACTCATGAATGTGAGAGACTTTCGAAATATTTGAGATGTATTCGAAATACATTAATACGTGATATAATGACGTGTGTGAATACGTGACTTTTAAGGAAGGACTTCATGAGAATCCATCTCTCATTATTTGATTTTCGAATTAGGCAAAAATTATCAAAATATGTGGATTTGTTGGTTTATTAGGTATTGTAGTTATAGAATCATATTTTATACCGCCAGGCCCGATAAACCGTGATTGTAACTTCACTAGTCTGACGGCGCGTTCCCGTGCGCCTCTATGACGTGAGAATAGACGAATAAGAGGTGATAGACTCACTCATGAATGTGACAGACTTTCGAAATGTATTAATGCGTGACATAATGACGTGTGTGAATATGTAACTTTTAAAAAAGGACTTCATGAGAATATATATTTCACGATTTGACTATCGAATAAGGCAACAAAATATCAAAAGATGTGGATTCATTGCATTTTATACCGCCAGGCCCGATAAACCGTGATTTTAATGACCATGATTACTGTGATAAACCGTGATTTTAACTTCACCTCTATGACGTGAGGTAAGACGAAAAATTATTGCATTAAGAGTTAGATGTTTTGGTTTAGTTGACGCAGTCAAGGCTGTAACATCGTATTTTATGTCACTAGGTCCGATAAACCATGATTATAACCTCATTAGCTCCACGGGGTGCTTTCATGACGTGAGAATAGACGAACGAGTAAAACAGGTTTCCGACATAATTGCGATATTTTCCAGATATGAATAAAATAAATAGAAGTGTTAGACCAGTACTAATTAAGAATTTAAACAAGAAAAGAAACTCTGTTTTTAAGAGCTAACTTAGCGTCCCAGTTGCTCGAAAAAATGAGTAAAAAATCCAAATACTTACAACAACATTCCAAACCTGGTCCATCTTCTCCGAAACAGTTAGCATGGGATGAATCTTCTCGACAAGTCGATCGATCTTACTCTTCCTGGTAACCTGAGGCGGTTGAGTGCTCGTTGTCGTCTGATTTTGGTTTGAAAGTTGGCTCTTGTCAACAATCGCCTCGTGAATGTCTCGGGTAAGCGTGTAAACAGTTCCCAAAGTGTCAGCCACCAAATTCATGTGAAATTGAAGCTTCCTATCTACATTACCCGTCGCCTGACGTAAATTCTCAATCTCTATTGACACGTGATTCATCACTTCGTTGCTCATTGCTTTAGTTATTTCTATGACATTCATGCTTATGGGCTTTTTCTCACTCGCTTCGGCATTTATGTCGTCACTTGGGAGGAAATTGTTGTCAAGCTGATTCTTCAGATTCACGAGTTTGTCGTCAATGTCAGAGACCTTTTGATCCAGAGATAGGAGTTTATCACCGAGGTATTCTGGGTTCGGTGCGTCGTGGTGGATCAGACGAATCACGGGAACTGAATTGTTAGGTTAATTAGTCGTAATTAACGTCATTGTGCAGGGAGACATTCTTTTATAATTGGGCAATTTTTTCATTTCGGTAATTGGACATTTGTTTTTTTCATGGAAATTTTCAAGTCCTGGTTGGTTTATCCGGCAGTCAGGGAAGTTTCTCGCCAACACGCGATTATTTCTCGAAGTATCGCGAAAAAGTATTTTTGAATTAAAAACTTCGAGGGGAGATACCGTGAGAACAAATGGAGTGAACGAGATCGTCATATTGAGTTTTCCAGCGGAAATTTTTCGATCTATCGAATGGTGGAGCCGAAATTTTTCCATTTTATTTTTTAAATTATGGCATTTGAGAAAAAAGGGCGAATTAATTAAATTAATTCACATCAAGGTCTAAATCCAAGTCTCAATTAATTTACGTTTAATTACTTTTGAAATCATTTAAAAGTAATTATTTTTTTGTAATTTTACTTTTTTCAAGGGAAAAATTTAACAGGGAACATGAACAAATGATAATTACCAGGATCCTCGTCCTCATTACCGGTACTACTGTCTATCGATCTCGCACTGTGTCCCAGCGCTTCTGGCGGAAGTGGTGGCTGTGCGTGGAACAATTTCAGGTCCAAGGTCCTCAGTTTCGTTATTACTGCATCGGTTTTATCGATGTTGTCGTTGACACGTGAATCCAGAGCCTCGACCCTTCTCATCAAGTGCTCCACAGCCTTGTCCAGGTTCTCGATGCGCTGGAGCTTCGACTCCAGGGTCGATACGATGACCTCGAAGACATTGAACAAATATTGTTCTCTGCAGCAGAAAAAACGAACAAAAAATGAGCTCAAACTATTTTTCAAACAAGATTAGATATGTCTGCGGAAATTATAATCGATTTTTTTGCTTCCGAATAGAAGCAACGTTGCATCAATGTTGGCTGCCACTGTCGGCAATATTGGCTGTCAACGTTCGGGCAATGGTGGTTGTTAACGTTGAGGTAATGTTGGCTGTCACCATTTGGACAATGTCGGTCATCAACATTTGCACAATGTCGGTGGTCAATATTGCGGTAATGTTGGCTGCCAACGTTAAGGTAATGTCGGTTACCAACGTCGGCAATGTTGGCTGTCAACATTGGAACAATGTTGGCTGTCACCGTTGGAGCAATGTTGGTGATCAACATTGGAGCAATATTGGCACTCAACATTGGGGTAATGTTAGCTGCTACCATTTGAACAATGTCGGCCACCAACATTTGCACAATGTCGGTCATCAATATTGGAGCAGTGTTTTCTGCCAACGTTAAAGTAATGTTGGCTGTCAACGTTGAGGCAATGTTGACTACCAACATTGAGGCAATGTTGGCTACCAGCGTTAAGACAATATTGGCTGGCAACATTGGGGTAATGCTGACTTCAATAAATCATTGAAATCAATTAAAAATACATCGTCATAGAAATTCCATTCGGAAGCAAATTGCTAATTGATAATGACTAAAATTAATTGCCAATAGCTAAAATTACTAATTGACCATCATATAAAAAGCAATTTCTCACTTGCTTTTTTTATGACGAAATTTTTTCATTTTATTTTGGAGTATTAGTGCTTCTCGATCCCATTGAAATTCACGAATGAAAGTGAAATTTGGCTATTACCTAACGGGTCCACCAAGCTGAACCAGTTCATTCGCTTGAATGCGGTGGCCCCCAGGGGATGTAACGAAATAAGAAGTGAAAAAAAAATTGGCAAAAGAGAACTGGGCGGAGTTGCGGTGTGCGAGTAAGAGGGCAATACACGTGGCGGTAAAGAATGAAAGCAGATATGCCAGCATGAATGGAATGTTTGGGAACAGTTCTTATTTAATTCCTCGGAATCAATTCTTCCAGACTACAATTAATCCATCATTCGGTTTTTGAGGGATCGATTGGTAAATGCAATTGCTTTATGTAATGATTATTCAGTTGACTTTATTATTTTTCTATTTTTATTTTTATATTTTATGTCAGTTGCTTATTAACAACAATTCAATAAATAATTGTTTTCGGAAGAAATTCCATTCATTTTTTATTTGGATGAATTAATAAATTGGTAAGTGAAATATGGAATTCTATTTTTAATTGCACAGGGCGATAATCGAAATAAATCATTCGATTTCATGAGAAAATTTCCCGTGAACAGTATTTCCAGGCTAATGAGCTGTCAATATTTGCAAAGAAAACGGAATGTCTAATTGTGTTTGCCGAGGCAAACAGTAGCACATTGGAGGATAAACTGTATAAGTAATAAGTCGAGAAAGTACACGACCCAGAGACCCGCGATCCCAAGCTCACGACGGTCACGCGACATCCACGACCTCCATCAATTATCAAACAACCAACCTATTCTACAATTTATCTGGCTATTAAACAGTTCGAGCGATGAAATCTTTGATTTTTGTAATTATGTGGTAGCATTTCTCATGTCAATCAACGATTATCACGTGTGAACAATATTATTGTTCAAGTAGTGTGAATAATTGAGGCGTTGTGTGTAATGAGAAAAAATAAATTCAAAAATACTGAAAAAAATGATTCAGTATTGATAATTTTTCCCATGAATTCGAACTTCGATGAGTGTAAGAAATTGATCCATCAAATTCTTTTTTCAATGATTTTTTCAAATAATAGTCTCTCGATTGATCTAAGTGTTTCCACATAACACGCCGTTTCGGGCGCGTAGATACATGAATTATTTATTGCAAAAGTTTGACACTGACTAGAATTTTTACTTATTTTTCCGGATTTTTCGAGATTTCTTCTAGATTCTAATCTTCTCCCTAGCCTCGAGAAGTTCTTTTTCTCATAAGACTCAGTGTTATTTTTGCATTTTAATTATCAATATGGAAGAACCCAAAATTATTAAAAAATTTGACAATTTCAATTATTATTAATTTATCCCTCGATCCGTAGAATTATGCAATGAATAATTTTTTCTTCAGTTCAGATCATTTTCTCGGAATTCTTCATGGAAGACAATCACATCTTAATTATTCACATGTTCAGTGGAATCACTGAAATCAAGGATGATAATATTCCTTGCAGTTTGGTAATGGCATATTAATACTATCTAGCATTATTTTTCATTATGCAAACTATAAAAGAGATAAAAAATGAAATAAATAAATGGGTCAAAAACTCATTGGATTAACGATATCCAAGTATCTTTTACAATTGGGTACAGACCACACTATAAATTCAACCACTTTCAATCATCAAATTTGTCAATTAAATTGCATAAGAAAAATTGGAAAAAATTATTATTTTTTTATTTTTTTAAACATTCGTTGTTTATGAATGAATATTTGAATTGGTTAAACTTTGAGGAACTTTATTTTTCTAGGCATGAAATCGATTTTTGGTAAAATCCTGAATATGAATAACTTTGTTACGATTCCGAACAAATGATTGTTATGGTGAAAAATTAATTGTTTATAATTTTTTTTTTAAATGCTTGTCATTTTTTATAATTTTTAAAAGATTTTTTTTTCGATTTTTAACCCTAGATTGGTCACCCTATGAGGGAGACCTAAAATTTGGATCATATGTTGTTGAGCGCAAATGAAAACGATTCCCAAAATTTCAAATATTTTATCCACGCGAATTTTTGAGATATGCATCGACAAAAACTTAAAAAAGACAAAAATTGAATGTTTGACGATGAATATCTTAAAAATTTACGTGGCAAAAATACTTGAAATTTTGGGAGTCGTTTTTACATGTCCTCAACATATGATCCAAATTTTAAGTCTTCAGTTCATTGCGAAATTTTCACCAAGTATAACTCACTGAGGAAGTACCTTAAATGAAATTGCCCATGAAGCGACGTTGCCGGAAACTCGTTACACGCGCCCGGCCAGTGTAGAGTGAATTCGGCAACGCCTAAATCACACGGCGGGGATTCCCCGGGGAGGTGACCAACGTTGCAGGGTCGCGTTTGGTGACCAGACTAGGGTTAAAATTATTTCCAACGATGCAATATCGAGATTCAAATCCAGACCTTCAAAGCTTAAATAATAAAATCATTGTAAAATTTCCGGAAACTTGAGATCAAATGGGGCTCAAAGGAAAGCTCTGATGTTCGTCTACAAAAGCAGAAAAGCATTTCACTGGAGAAAAAATGACTAAAGTACTTGAATATCCTCAAGTTCGCAATTAGGCATGGGGACTAGCATCTGTGTACATAAAATCCAGCAAAGAATTCTTAAAACTCATAAAAAATTCAAGCCTCTTTATTTTTGATTTATCCCCGAATCCTTCGTGACGCGATAAAAATGTCCTCAACTGTTCCCAGAATCCTCGAAAAGTGATAATTCACGCCTTAATTATTCACTGTGTTCATTGGTGTCACTGAACCTCAAGGATTAACTAAAAATATATATCCTCGTTAATTCACCATTCTGAGAGACATAAGCAGGTTAACACGCCAGTATTTATCTCTCTTTATTTTTTACAACTTGTCCAGTATTTATGGTAATTTGAACAACACTTTTTGTTCTCACGAAAATTACCCAGCGTCAATCTCAGGTGGGATTTATCTGTGGTCCATTGCCAAGGTAGATTGGAGGAATTGTTTGAGTCTCGAGGGAGAGCGATAGCATTCTCAAGACTCGACAGAGCGTAAATATCTCTTAACCACGAAGTTGACCATTAACTTGTTTTCATATGGTTAAATTCATTGCGCTTCGAGTGCTACTCCAATTGTGATCTATTACGTTGTGCTTAAATATTCCATGCAATTCAGTGTTGTACATAAATTATTTTTATGGTTAATAAATTTGTTCTCATTGAATTCTCATTGAATTATTATCCATTTTGCAGAGGGGAAAAAAAAATTTCACAGCTTCAAAGTTCTAAAGTGAATTAGATGAATGTGAAATCTATTGCGATTAGCGCTTCAGAGTTTTTTTTATAGAGGAAATACACTTTGAGTAGAAAAGAATTGTTGGGACCCCCCATGACGAAGCACAAGGCATATTCTGTTCAAAATAATGTGACGAATAATATGTGGAGAAAATGTCATAAACATTTTTTTGTCAAAATACAAATTTTATTGGGAAAACTTTTATTTTTTATTTATTTACAAGATAGAAGTTGTTCTCAATTTCATTCATTCAAGTTGATTCTAGTGGGATTGGGTTCCAGTTATGAAAGAGAGAGGCAATAAGATTTTTATGACGACGAGAATGCACATGAGTTAAGAATGAATACTTTCCGTGAGTAAATTGAACGTCGAGAATTCCTGGTGCAATTCCATATGTATCTCGCTGTTTTCCGTTTCCTGGGACTGGCGATGATACAGTAAACTTGTAACGCCACATAAGACACCGAGTACCCCGCCCATGAGAGTAGTTATCGAGTGCCCACCAGTGTTTCCATGAAAGTAAACGCTTACTTCTTGTCCCATGCAATCGACTCAATCCATCGATTCCTTATTTTCTTAGTGCTGATGAACGTCGTATTATCGTTGTGAACGACTGGAATTTATCGGTCTGATTTTTTTAGAATAGTTCTCATAAATAAATGAGTTGTTACGTAATGATAGGCTTGGTGCTTTCAATATTGTTGAGCTGGCGAATCGAACATGAGGTAGAATTGCACTCGAAAGTTCCAGCAAATGAATAAACGTTAGAAAAAAAAATGGTTCGAGGGTTCCAATCCCGGCTTGAGCAATTTTGTTGCGAACAGTTATTTAA